ATATGCAAATGCACGTGCTTGTTCAAGTGTGCGTGCATATGTATATGCAAATGTGTGCGCGCATGTATACACATGTGGGTATGCATATGTATATGCATGTGGGTATGTGTGTTTATACATGTATGTGCATGTGGGTGTGCATGTTTATTGTATATTATGTGTGAATATATGTGTGTTGATTATGATGTTATTAAATATGCCTATATAAGTATAGATAGCAAGAGGCAGCATGGCAGAGTGGATTTAATAGTGAAATTGGATTCATGATGATCATCTCCTTGGGGTTCAGTTCCTTCATCTCTAAAATTAACGGGTGGGATTAGAAAGTCCCCATGGTTCCTTTCAGCTCTAAAAGTCAGTGAATCTCCATTCTCAGATCTTCCTAGAAAAGTTTTTCAGGGACTCTTTTTTGCCCCCAATTGGACTGTACTTTGTATTAGTCTTACCTGTGTCAAATCACCCCCAGTAGAACGTAGTAAGCTCCTTAGGGCCAGGGATTATGTTGTGGTTCTCACATTCTCCAGCACCTTTCTATCTTGCAGGTAGAAAACACCTAAAAGCATTTGCTGAATTTGACTGTATGGATCTATACAACTATACAACTTAATCCCACCAAAAGGGTCAAGGAGGATAAAGCTAGAAAGGCCATTGTGATTACTGATATGGAAGACTTTTAATACCTGTTTCACTGATTTTTCTACCTCCAGTCTATTGATTCTTCAATCTCTTTTTTGCATTGTTGTCCACTTAATAATTATCCGAAGGCATTATTGTCATCATTTTACTATTCAAAGACCTCAAATAATTTTCTCCAGTGCTTAGAAAGTGAAACATTAGCTTCTTATTCTGGCATTCATTGCCCTTCACCATCTGGATGTAGCCTACCTACAATCTTCCCATTTGGAAGAGGTCTTAGTGGCTGGATAGTATAACCCACATTTGAAAGAAAGGCCTTTTCCCCTTCAACTCGTTTGACAGATGAACATCCAACATCTTTCTGAAGACCTCTAATGGATGGGGACCCACCACTTCTTGAGGCAGCTTATTCCACTTTGGACAGCTCTAATTTTGGGACAGTTTAAGTTGACCCCATGCCTCAATTTGGTTTATTTGCAACTTCCACTCAATTTTCCGGGTTCTGCTGCCTGGAGCCAAACATCTTTCTTCCACATGACAGGCCTTCCAGTACTTGGAAAGTTCCTTGTTACCCTCCCCCAATCCCATACACAACCATGTATCTTCTCTTCTTCAGGATAAACATTCTCAGTCCCTTCAGCAGCAACTTATATTCCATCGACTCAAGACCCTTCAGTATTCTGGATGCCAACCTTTGCACACTCTCTAGCTTATTCTCCTTATCTTACACAATGCCTCTTTGGATACTCAATATCTCTGTTAGACTATTATCTCTATTAGCATGCCTCTCAGCTTTGACTGTTTAACCTTCTTCCCTCATGACCCAAGTACTATGTACTCATTTAGATGTTCCTAATACCATTCCACCCCCATTGGAAGAGTTTCTTTCCTTCTTAAAGTTTTCCCAGCATTTTGAATCTCTGTGCTTTTCTCTTGTATCATTAGTTGTCTCTTTCCTTGTACCATTAGACTGTAAATTCCTTGAGATCAGTTGTTATTCTTTGTATCCTCCAACACTTAGCACAATGAATTACAGTTTGAATTATTTGTTCAAATAAGAAATTTTCATTTCTTTCCTATTAATACTTGTGTAGCAGATATAGCATCAGAGTTGGAATCAAAAAGACAGTAAATGCTTAGCTAGCTGGGCAAGTCACTTAATCTCTTTGGGTCTCAGTTTCCTCATCTGCAGAATAAAAGAGTTTGGGACTCGATGACCACTAAGATCTCTTCCAGCTCTACAACACTAAGATTTTTGGAAGGAGAATAGGGAATACCAGAAATGCAGGGATAACAAGGGGAAAAATATTTGTCTGTCTGTATAAGGTATATTTTGAGCCTAGAGGAAAAGGAATAATTTGGATGTGCTCTAGTGGCCCTTTCTTAGTGTGCCAAGTCTCTTTTTCTCAATTAAACTTCAAGTTTAAAAACTTGAGGAAGACATTGCTGAAGACTTTAAAAATACTGGCTCAAAGATTCAGAGAAGTCCTAGGGAACTAACTAGTTATAATGGCTGACAGCCTCTGACGGGGCTGTGGAAGGAAAGTGATGTCATAGACAAGGACATTACAAAGCAAAGGGCCAACTGCCCCAACAGGAGAAGGCTTAGGGGATTTTTGGATTATGGATGAGTAAAAGAAATATAATTCCACATGCTTCACATATCCTCACATATCCCTTTAACATAAGGGAGGGACAGTTTAGTAGCAAAGGAAGTTCCAAAGCCATTCCTTTTTAGGAATGGGATTAAATAGCAAGAGTCTTTCAGCAAGGAAATCAAGACTCAACATTAGAAAAAAAGTTGGGGGCGGGGATGGAAGGAAAAATTAAAATAGCCTATTTCTCTTCAGTAACTTTTAGCCTCCTTAAACTGAAGAGCTGTAGCAGAGTTAATCAGGGGACTCCCTTTTTCGCTGGACTCAAGGTGGGGGGGGGGTCCCTCTTCCCAAAGACCAGGGACCAATCATGAAGCCCTAGTCAATAAAGACCAATCAGAAGTTCACCAGTTCCTCCCAGCAAAGGGCCCTGGCACCTATAAGTAAGAGGCCAATGTCTCAATATCCAGCTCCTTAGGAGGTACCCCAGTATAGCAAATAGTTATGGATGAGGTGATCAGGGAATTGTTTGGGAAAACATTGGTGACAAGTGTTTTAGCTACACAGGTTTTGGGGGAGATGAGTGACAGCGGGTGGGGAGTATCTCATACATCACTGATGGCAGTTAAAAACCCTCTGGTGTGATGCATTAAAAAGTACACTTGAAATCAAAGAAATCATATATTTGAAGCATAAAGCATTTCAGCTTCCATAATTCTTTATTAAATATTTGACAAGTTGCATCATTTCATTACAACAACTTCATTGTGTCACATTGATCTTTTTTGCTGTCAGGAAAACAAACAATCTACATTTCCCTTCAATTCTCTTAAGAAAATAAATGGAAAAAATGGTTTTGTTCTTGAACAAAACTTTCCCTATTGTGTATCAAATTCAACTGTACTTTAAAACTATTCTGATTGTGAAAATGAGCATTCTTTATAAGTTGCTTTTCTTTTTAAAAAAACAAACAAAAAATCAAGGTAGTTTAGTGTTTACCACTGTATCAAATATTAGCCTCATATTAGGAGGTTTTTTCTTTTAACAATAAAAAGTTATGAAATGGGATTTCACTTGGAATGTTTGAAACTCTTTTCACTTTAGAAGTCATTGTTTGTTCATGTTTAATCTGAATTCCTTGGTTCGTAAAGGATAGCAAATCAATGTCACCTTCTTAAGGTTTGCTCAGGCTTGAAGGTTGGAATTTACAGGGTTGGGCTTGGAGAAAAATGTAGAGACCAAACTCTCACTCCCCTTTGAAACTAGATTACTCAAGGAAGATGTAAAAAAAAATGCTATATAAATATATACATATATATATATTTTGACTGCATATGTACTATATATATGTATATAAATATTACATACACAGTAATAAAGGGAAGATCAAAATCTGATGAGGTTAACATGAAGGAAAACATGACATCCTAAGTGAAAATTAGTCTGACTGAAAGGCGCAAAATGGCTTATAAGAATAAAAATGTATGCTGACACAAGGCTATGGTTGGTGATGGCGGCTTAGTAACATTGATTTAAAGTAGAGAATGCAGTACTACAGGTCTGCAGACAACATAACACATGGTTAGATTCCAGTTGTTATTCCAAACCAAAGTAAAAAAAAAGTCCCCATGCATTTTAAACATGCATTACTTTGAGTGAAACATCTTTAAATAAAGATGTCTGATGAGATTTTCTTGCAAAATTTCATACAAACAGAAACATCTTTTTTTCCCTTATAAAATGTTATACAAGCTCATCTTGTAATTCTACAGCATTTTTCTCTTACACTCTGGAGTGTGTGTGTGTGTGTGTGTGTGTATGTGTGTGAACACATGTGTATACACACACATATATGTATATACATATACATACATATGTGTATATATACATATATATGTGTATATGTATACATATATACACATATATATGTGTGTGTGTATACACACACACACACACACACACAATGTAAGTTAAGGCTTATATATAAATTTTTTAAAAAGTGGTCCAAAGTCTGTCACATTTTTCTTACCATTTTAAAATCTAAACTACCAAGGAGTTGAAAAGGGTTTTGGGGTTTTTTTTACTTTTTTTTTGTTTAAACACCTCAGGCCTGAAGTTGGCAGCTTTGACACAACTTCCATGTCAGGATACAGGCAAAAAACCTGTACATGACAGAGGTAGTGTACTTTGCCTGGGGGTGAGGGAGGGAGGGGTACTAGGCAGTTACTCTGTACTAGAGCATCCTCTACTGGCTTCTCAGAAAGCGGAAGATAGCATACCACCTATGTCCCCTTTAGGATCAGGGTGCAGGGTTAGGCGAAGGAAGAGAGCCTGAGAGTAGGAGAGGCTATTTGCAGGGTGGTGACAAATTGACAACTGGCTAAGCTACTGGATCACACTTTTTGTTTAATTTTAAACTTCAGTGGTAAGCTATACGAGAACTTTTTGGAAAATGCTAGTTTTAGCTCTTAAACATTCCTCCAGTGCAGGCAGAAACCTGGAGTTACTACAAATGATTTATAACATATATCATGACCTGACTCCAGCCTGGCATTTTGGATCTGGGAACACCAACGAGTAGTGGTACAAGTGACAGAAACCACAATGGCAGAAGTAAGATACGGAGAATGGTTTGGACATTTTACTCATCACTTGCTACAATCTACCCTGGTACCCTAAAATAGAAGGAATAGCTTCTTGTTTACATTAGTGATTATTTGACCCCCTAGAGGAAAATTTCAGTTGCCAGCTAATAATAAATTACATGAAGACTTTACTGTTCTGTGATTTATTAGGGAAGAAGGGTGGAACTAACTACAGATAATAAACCAGGGCAAATGAATCAGAACATAAGAGTTTAAAGTGAAAAAATAAAATAAAAAGGCACTGAAATTGAATACAGCTTGAAATGGAGCAAAATAACTTAACATCTCTCTACTCCAAGAAGCATCACCACATTCCTAAACTGACACTTCTAAGCTGATCCTAGGCAGAAGGAAATTCCAATCTCCTCAATCAGGCCTATAAGGATCAAGAATGGAAATACCAAAAGACTTTATGGGACAGCCATGGTAACTGATGCTAAAGAAGCTTCAACAATCATTCTTCAACAATATATTCTTTGGAGTAAATTCCTTAACCTGCAATACCTTCTGGAAGATTGTCTCTTCAAGCCCTATGCCTTTTGTAGGAATCAAGTGTCTTCTCTGGTTTGGGAACAAAGAGGGGTTGTAAAGACCATAGACTGCTGACCAAAGTTTGCTGCTAAGGACAATCTGTGAATAGGAAACATAGTACTTCTTTACAAATAATGTCATATAGACAGCGGACTTGGATGCACAGAGTTTTGACTAAAGAATCTACTTTTCATGCAACAAATTCACTTCATTTGTTTTTTTGAGATTATATCCTGAAGATTACAAGAAGATGATTAAGAAAAACAGGATATGAGACTGTTAACAAAGAAAAATTGAAACATGGTAGCCTTTGGAGAGTCAGAGAACCTGGTTTGATAAAAGTATCATTCGACATTAAGACAAGTAGGTTATTATTTAGAAAGAGTTAAACTGAAGTTTTCTCTTATCCAATTAATGTCTTCTAGAGATTTGTTATGGTATATAACAATGTCTTTTGGAGTTCTTATTCTTAATTTACCTTTTAGAGACTTAAAAATTATCTCGCCAGAATAAAATTGTTTTTCTTCTAATACTCTGCTTTTTTTTTTTTGCAACTGGTGATTATCTACCCTTTTAAAAAGTAATCATAGTTAAACAATAACAAAAGAAATCCAGGTTCTTGGAAAAGGTTGATTATACAGCACCATAGTTGTGTAATAGCTCTCAAAAAGTAACCAATGCACAATTCAGCCTTTGGATTGAGTCTTTAAAAATAATTAATTTTGGAATAAGGCAGTTGCACAAAAGGGATGTTCACCAACTGAGTGAGATATTAGGCAGATCTATTATTGAAAAAAAACCATCAAGTTTCTCACCAATTGGTTAAAAAAGAAACTAATTGTCTACTTGTGAATTACTCAGAATGTTGGTTTTTTGATTTTTATCTTTTTAGACAAAGGCCAATGTGGAAAAAGGAGTCAATGCTTTCCTGCTGCAGAAATCTCTGGAGATTGTAGTGCTCTGAACAGTGATGGACTGCTCACCTGCTTTCTCAAGCATTGCAGAGCCCAGCAAGATGACATTTTCTGAGTGTCATGGTGTTGCTGCGTAAGAGGCTCTATTATTTCTGTCTTGCCCTTAATAAATATAAAACCCATGACCCCATACATTTTTGCTCCATCATCTGCTGGCAAGAGATTAACTGAAAGGTCAAGTCCTAGAGTTAGGGGGAGGGCAGTGGGAAATAAGGGTTAAAAATTGCTTCACTAGTATAGAAGGGGCCACAGATAGCAGAACTCTCTCAAGAACTAGATGAACTGCTCAGCTCCATGGGCAAAGAAGAAGACTTACAAAGCTATCAAATGGTAATCAAATGACCTCAACAAATAAATACCCTCAAGCAGATTCTACTACTAGACCAACAACTTAAGTGGATCAAATACTAGTCTTCTCTCTTTTACCTTTAATCTACCACACAATAGATACAACTCAGGCATTATATAGTTTTTAAGCATGCAACATGTCCTAGGTAAGAAAACATGGTTAGGTAAAGTGTATATTAAATTAATCTTTGTGATTGTATAAAAAATCATAAACAATTGGTGAGAAAAGGACTCTGGGCTCAGTTTTACATCTGGGTTTTTATACATCAGCAGCCGCCAAATTCACAATTGATAGACATGTGCAATGAGAAGGAATCATCACATTAAAACGCTTATGATATATTAAAAAAAAACAGATATGAATTCCATGTAGTACATAAAGTGCCTTCAGAATTGGTGCAGTCAGGACAAAAGTGGTTATTTAGGGACCATTAGCAAATGCATACAAATAGGAGACAAAACAGATCTGGTTTCCACAATTTCAAATCGAGAGCAGTGCCAGGTTTCATTCAAAATGCCTCCACTACAGAGAACAGTAAAGAGGAAAGATCATAAAAGCATCACTGTACAGCAGGAAGAAGGCAGGGGTAAGCCGGTTCTCTTACAAGAAATGCTAGTCTCACCCTGACTCAAAATGGATTCTATTACTTGGAATAGCTACCAAGGAGCAATGCTGTGATTCCTTTTAAGTCAACACAAAATTTTTCATGCTATGTCATGATTCTTTCTTGTCTTGCAGCTATGATACTAAATTTGTACAAAAATGTAATCTCCAGTTAGTGCTTAGCCTCTCTGGGTGTGGAAAGATATCATTATACTTGATGACTTGTTTGAAATTCTCTAAATGTCTTTGTCTGGGGAGCATTTTTGGACAAATATTAGGTCTCTATTTTGAATACAGTGGGGCAGGGGAAGATTCAATGCACTAAAAAAAAAATAAAAATGTCACTGACATTAAGTCTAGTAGGAAATTCAGATACGAAAAAAATGCTCATTTTTCAAAGTATATAATATATTTAATTGTAATGAAATAAAATCTGAAAATAGGTCTAAATCATTTTTAAAAGTAAACATGAGCTGTAATACTATACCTGTAGAGTGATTAATTCCATTCATTGTCATTAGAAAGTATGTAAAATATTTATTAAGGGCTTTGCCTACAGAGGCCCAACATAAATAGAACAAGTCCTCCTGAAATGTAATTAGTGTACACATCAACCAGTTGATAATTTGTGGTGGAAAATGCAGAAATACTATCCTTGGGCTAGAGTTCCAACTTCTGCCCTTAGGCAACTGCATTGTCGAAGAGTTTGCTCCAGAAACCAACTTTGTGCAACTGTTCTGCCATCGCGGCTTAGGTGTCCATTAGGCAAATGCAAAGGGGCAAGAAGAACTTGCTTGATTAACAACATCCAAAAAGTAGCAGCTGCCTAATCCACGCCTTCAAATCCTTGAGCATTTTCAACGGCCATGAGAAGTTTCTCTCTTAAATCTTCAAAAGTTTCATATGGAGGTAAGTCAAGGCGATTAAAGCTGAAAAGGCAACGACAAAAACAAAAACGGCTGGGTAAAATGGTAACCAATCACCCTGGTCCCTGACTCAGCCTCCCGAACTTACTTTTATTAAGGACAACCGACCACCTAGGAAAGGGCAGTGGCCTGAGGGCAGACTTCCCCCTCCCCATACATCAGATCAAAGCTCCTTGAGTGTAAGGGCTCTTTTGGAATCTTCTTTGCATCTCAGACATAGCGCCTGGCACATTGTAAGTGCTAACTGATCAGTTCCTCTTCCTGCCATTGGAAGTTTTCCTTTCCCTTATTGTTCTCTTTCTATTTCTAGTAACCACTTCCTGTAACTGTCTCCAATGCCCACAGAGGCTCTTTTTTCTGATGAGGGGGGAGGCTCCTAACTGGGGTTTGCAGTGTCAGGATTGGTGTGGGCAAGAGGAATGTGAGGGGGTTATTAAACTCTAAGGCCCACTGTCAGCCCTTCCCACCACTGCTCCTAATCTTCCTACTTCGCACCAGAGGTCCCATCCTGCTAGTCACCTCTTCAACAAAATCAGTTGTGTATAGGACAGACTCACCATTACCCCTATGGAGTCTACATTAAAAAAAAGAAAGAAGGGGAGGTTTGGGAGCATAGAACTGAGTCAAAGAAGTGGGGGGGGGGGAAACGACTCCTTTTGGAAGCAACAGAAGGTAACAATACAAAAGGAAAGCAGTTAAGTAAATTCTTAGGGCCCATGGAAGGAATGAGGATCATTAAGAAGCCACCAGGATTAAAAAATCCAGAATTTCACATTGGTGGAAGCCTTGGAATTCAAATGACAGAACCTCAGAAGCTATTCAGTCTGACCACTGGTTCTCAAAAGTATGGTCTGGATACCCCTGGGGGCCCCCGAGACCCTTTCAGGGGGCCTGCAAATTCAAAACTATTTTCATGACAACACTAAGACATTTACATTTCTAACAAGGCAAATATTGATATAACCCACATAAACAAAAGCTCCTTGGAGGTGGTTCGCAATAATTTTTAAGAGTATTAAGGAGTCTTGAGACTAAAAAGCTTAAGAACAGTTTGTCTAACCTACAGCTAAAAAAGGATCCCTTTTACATAGTGATAATAGTATTTCTATAGCATTTTAAGGTTTGTAAAGCACTTAAAATATTAGATCTCACAAAACCCTTGGGAGGTAGATGGGCTGGGAGAGGTTGTCACTTGCCTAAGTTATACAGCTAGTAAATGTCTGAGGCAGGATTTGAACTCAGGTCTTTTGATTCTACATCTGCATTCTATCCACTGTACCACCTAGCTGCCTTTGACAATGGATTTAGCAAGAGGCCACCCTGTCTTTCCTTAAAGATCGCATGTGATTAGGAATTCACTTCTTAAGGCAGGCTGTTCCAGTACTGAGTGGAATTGTTAGGAAGCATATCCTGTCTTCAAACTTGATTTTTTTCTCTTTGTAACTTCAACCCATGTTCTTTGGGGGCTAAGCAGAGCAAGCCTAATTATCATTTCATGTGACAGCCCTTCAAATACTTGAACACAGCTATCACATTCCTCCTAGTTCTTCTCTTCTCCAGGTTAAATACTACAATTGTCATCAGGCATGAACTCAGGCTCTCCACGATCCTGTCTGCTCTCCTCTGGATACTATAGCTTTTCCTCCTAAAATGTATTGCCAAGAACGTAACACAATATACCAGATGTACTCAGATAAAGGCAGAGTAGAGCGAAGCTATACCTCCCTAGTTCTGGAGATCATGCCTTGGCCCAAGATTGTATTAGTACTTTTGGCTGCCATATCATACTGCTGACCCACATTGAGCTTCAGTGCACTAAACCTCCCAGTTATTTTCAGATCAGCTGCCATCTATACATGCTTCTCATGCCCTTGTGAAGATGATTTTCTGAACTGTAATATAATACATTTTTTTCCCCCTAAATGTCATCCTATTAGATTTGGCCCAAATGTCTAGCCTGTTAAGACCTTTTTGAATCCTGGTCCTGTTATCCAGTATATTAGTAATTCCTTCTAGCTTTTTGTGATTTGCAATTTGATAAATGTGGCACCTATGTCTTTGATCAGGTCACTGATAAAATGATTAAATAACATTAAGTCAAGCAGTGATGCCTGGGGCATGAGCCCCATAGATTTTCAGTTTCTATTCCTATTTGTCAGTGAGGCTTACTCCTCCACTAGCCCTCATACCCACCCTCCCTCCATTTTGCCTCCTCCTAAACCCTCCTGGAATTCTAACCTGAAGCCACGGGAGCCCTCACCACTGCCTTGTTGTGGAAGGAATCCCTCAGGCTCATTATTCTAAAGATCAGAGAGGTAAGAGAAGCAAACTCCACCTTAGCTAGGGGAAAACATGTTCCTGGAATTATGGACAGAATTTTCCCATAAAATATTGTTACAAATGACAGTCAGGTATTATAATACTATTGGTATAGACCATAAGGTATGACTAGACGACTTAGAAGGTCCTTTCAAGTTTTAAATTTTTAATGCTACGATGGTATGGACAAATAAGCTTTTGTGAGGTAGTGTGAGAGCCTGCACACCATTCATAGCATTGGCACTCAATGTTGTTTTACCCAGAAACAAGTAACTGTGTTATAAATGAACTTTTGGAACACAGCCAGCTCAGAAATCAGTGACTGTAAGAATTTAAATTAGTATTTTCCAAACTGGTTGAGGGGCTATGTGAAGCACAGAAAATATTTCTATTATTCTATATGTCTTAATCTCTGTCATACACTTACAAAAATTAATAGGTGAAGAAAGATAGCTATAAAAACCAGGGGCAGCTCAGTGGCACAGTGGAGAGAGCACCAGGCCTGGAGTCAGGAAGACTCATCTTCCTGAGTTCAAATCTGGCCTCAGACACTTCCTAGCTGTGTGACCCTGAGCAAGTCATTTAACTCTGTTTGCCACAGTTTCCTCATCTGTAAAATGAGCTAGAGAAGGAAATGACAAACCACTCTAGTATCTTTGCCAAGAAAACTCCCAATGTGGTTATGTTGGATATGACTGAAAAACAACTGAACAATTGAGAAATAGAGTAGAACATTTACTAGCTGATATTAGGGATAGTGACAAATTTTTCCCCCCACTGGAAAATGCCTATACTGACCATCTGTCTACATAAGTCTTTAGAGGCAAATGTAAATTATATACAAATAATACTCTGATAGGTCTGTAGCACCTTTCAACTATACTAAGATTTGCTCCTTGGAACAATCTCAGTGAGAAAACAAAACATATAAGGTTAGACACCCTATGCAAACACTACAATTGTGTAGACTTTACAATTCAAACACAGACAAAAAGTGTGAGTAACAGTTAAAGGTGAGAACTATTTCTCAGTAGTTAGAATACGAAAAGTTAGGCAAACAGATGATGCTTTAATAGCCTTTTCTCCCTGAATGTCATTTGCTTAAAACATGAGGGGATTTAGTAAAGTTTTTCTTACCCTGAAGTGATAATTCTAGACAGTTTTACTGCATTGCAAATCATTCTGTCTGGAGGGAATTCTTGAATATAAACTTTCCCTAAGAAGGCACACTAGAATTTGCAAACTATTTACTTTCTCTCTCTCTCTCTCTCTCTCTCTCTCTCTCTCTCTCTCTCTCTCTCTCTCTCTCTCTCTCTCTCTCTCTCTCCCTCCCCCCTATTTATCTCTGTCTTGGCATACTATATTGAGTTGAAGTCATGTCAAGTTGATAGATGTCTATTTCCTCAAGTCAGGTATGTGCTGAGTGCCAGAGATAACAAGAAAGTAAAAACACATCCCTCAAGCAGCTCACAATCTAATTTTCAATGCTGATCATGTCATGTCAGCAGAGAGAGACATGGGAGGCTGCTGCAGCTTTACTGGACCATTGGAATATAGGAGGCGTGGGTTGGTTTCTGGAGCTCATGGAGATATCCAAGTGTTTTCATGAAGGAGTAAGCAGATAGCTTCATTGGTATCATATGTCTGTCATAAATGGCATTTTACTTACACAGTACAATTCTGAAAACTGTATCAAACCAACTCTTTTGAAAATGGGAGATATATGTCATATAAGATGCTTGGCAAGCTTAAGTCAGCAACAAATTATCTTTTATTACCCTTTTTATCTTCAAAAATTTGAAAGAGTTTCAAAAAATTTTAGATAAATTCACAGAAGACAGATCCATAATAAAAACCAGAAAAAATATAGTGTTTCATAGGAACGTCTCTAAATGCCAGCATTAACAATAGCAAATAAGCCCTTTAGTACCATTGGCAGAAATAGAATTCTGGGCTGGATGAAACAGATATGGCACATTTTATGTTCTTACGTTCAGTGAATAATAAACTAAGTAAATATGTCTTCATTAATAGCTAGGAACAGCCATCTGGAAATTTCGCAGTAACATGGGATATTATCTAGAATTGTTCCAATTAATTAAACTGAATTGTTCTTTTTAATAATAATCCTTATTTCTAATGATACACACAGTGAAGTATGTACAGTTCTACCTATTTATCTTAACCATCAACTATGGAACACTTTTTAAAAGTATTAAATTGTGTTCAGAATTTCTAATTTAAATTAGTGGATTTCAAATTTAAATTCCAATGAAATCAGCCTTCTGTTCTCAAAAAGGTAAATAATGCCTTCTTGAACATCATTCAACAAAGGTGACTAAGACTAATAATAAAAAGTACAGTGAAGAATGAAATTTCCTCGTGTCAATCAAGTTGAATGAAGTATGCTGACAGCAAATATTAGATCAGATTTTTTTTCTTTGAGAGCTCAAAATCTTGTGCATTATTAGAAATACAGTAAGGAAAATAAGCTTTAAACAGCTGGTTTTTATCTAGGAATTACTGCTATGAAGTAGTCAATGGACTATTTTTTTTTTTGCCATCTATGTTATAACACAAGAAGAGTTTTGAGCAAATATATCTACTCTGGGTCCAGATTAACAGCAAAGCTGGCCATCCCACCGGAGTAAAAAAACTAGCAGACTCATTGGTAACCACCAAACAGTTCCCAGTCTTATGTAACTTGCACCTGGTTTTAATTTGTGTTGTTAAAAAAATATTAGCTTTACTCATTCCTCTATCTAGAACTGGAAGGTACCTTAGGGATCATAGCCTGAGGCCCCAATCAATTAAGTGACTTGTCCAAGGTCACACAAGTAGTAGTAAGCAGAGTCAGCCTTCTAACTCAAGTCTGGTGACTCCCAAGCTCATTACTTTTTTTTATTGCCTTAGCTAACTTATCACCACGGGAATAAAAAAAAAGCTGGATCAGCTAGGTTATTACTTGACTGGGGTGAAACGAGGTATGTATACTTCAACGCTGCTGTTCCTATGAAAGCCAGGATGTAGGTCTGCTGGATATCTGCTAAAGATTGAAGCATAGTGCTCAAAGGTACTTCCAGAAATGGAAAAAAGGTGAGATATTCAAGGTTCTGAAAACTGAGGAGCTTTATATGAGCTTAATGGTCACATTGATCCTATTTGTCTTTTCACACTGAGGCTATTATTACTATAAAGCTGGGTTTGATTCTGATGACCCTTGGGGGCTGATCCAGATGCCTAAAAATTTTTTTAAATAATTTAACTTTAAAATTCTAAATAAATTTAAAATAAATTGCCGAGAAGCAATACCAGTTACTACTGCTCCACCTGACTTGGGGCAGGATGCTTTTAGGATTTGAAAGACAAGGCATTACCTGGAAAGCAACATTCCCCTCTTTTTGAAAGGGAGAGAGGACTTACATAAAAGCTAGACAACTCTGTTAAGGGAGTTCCTTTTTATTTTTACTTTTTTTTTTAAACAAATACAATTTCACAAGAACTTTCCTTCACTCTTTGGGTTTGGAACGTATGTTCATGCTGTGAAACCACATGAACCAAACCTTCAGACTCGGCTTAACTCTCTAGCTCAGCACAGGCAAACGAGAGCCAAGCAGGTCTCTAGGCATGGGGCAGCTTGGCTCACTCACAGTGTTTCAGAGAGATCATTCCACACTCTTTCTAAAGGATGAGAAAGCAAAGCCTGGCAATAAAACTAATGCCAGGAAGGGGAGACGTGATTAAGAAACTTTATGAAATTCAATTATAACCTGCTTTAGTAACATATTTACATTTGAATGGTGCTTTATACTTCTGTAAATACTTATAATATACAAGACTCTTCTTTCTCACCCTTATCTCCTCAGTGGGACCAATGTCATCCTCACCCATGTGACTGCATCTAGGATCTCAGACCCACCTGCAATTAACTCCCACGGTGAATCTCCTTCAGACTTAAATCCTTCTACACTACTCACATATGCTTCCTCTTAACTCTTCTGACACTACCTCATCATGGTCTGGACTTCCTTCTGTAAAACAGACTTGAACAAGCTGGGGAAAACCCACCATTCTACAAAGGATAATGAGAATACTGCCCAAGATCCTAGCCCCTGCCTTCTAACATTACCTATGCTCAAGTACTCAGGGCAAGCTCAGAGACTCCCTGTTTCCTCCACAGCCCCCAAAGTCAATAACAACATTGTTGCCTCTGTGAATCCAAGATCAGCTTCCTTTCATTAACCCCGCTCCCTCCCCAGGAGCACCAGCAATAGCTACCTCATGGGAACCAGTGCCTGCCTGGAACCCTCAACTCTAACCACACTGCCCCTGGTCAGAGTATTTTTGGAAAAGGTTGAATTCCAGAGAGGGGTTTTCTCTGGGGCTTAGAGGGATGGTATGGTTGGGGAAAGGGTAAGGAAGGGGCTATGTCCCACTCCCTTCCTGCTTGTCTAGCTCCCGACATCCTAGCTGAGAAGCAAAGAGTGACCACAGCAGCTTTATAAAGCATGGTTTGATTTCTTTTTTAAACATTATATTTTTTATCTTTTCTTTCGAATTCACTTTTTCCAATTAAAAAAATTCTTATTTTTGTCATATTTTGTTTTGATATTACCTTTATTTCTGTATATAGCCCTTCCCCCTTACCTATCAAGCCATCCCTTGTAACAAAGATTGAAAAGAAAAAAAAAACTCAGCATATCTGATAATACAGGTAACATTATACATCCATAGTTCCCCACCAACACATAAGTGGTACAGACATTTCCTGCAGTTTCTGAATCTTCTGCCAGGATACACAGGGCTAGCTCATGGGCTGTCTTTCAAAATTCTTATCAACATGCAGCAATTCTAAAGGTACTTCCTGGTCTTTCTAAGTACCCCTTTGGAACACCAACACCTGCCTCCCCTTGTAGCTACATTGATTGTGGGCTTGGAGCAATCTGAGGCAGAGGGGGACAAAATGAAGGCAACGTATTAGGGAGGTTTTACTCTGTCCCTTGACACAATGGATATGGAAGCAGCTGATGGTGGTCCCAAAGGGAGGTGCTTAGTAGAACCAGGAAATACCCTCAGGACTTGTGCGTGTTGATAGGTGGTTTGAGAGACAGTCAATGAGCTATCTCTGTGGTATTCTGCCAGTAGACGCAGGAACTGTAAGAAGCACACATCGTGAATATGTTGGGATGAGATTAGGATGTAGGCAGGACAGGTGTTTTCTGGAGAAGGAAATGGCAAACCACTCCAGTATCTTTGCCAAGAAAACCCCATGCAGGGCCACCAAGACTGACTGATAGAACAAGGGCAAGTATTCAGAAGGAGAGTGGCCACAGTGGTTCTACACTTGGGATTAGTGGCAGAGTGGAAGTCACCTGAGGAGAGCAGAATGTGGAGCTGAAGAGCCCAGGCAGCATCTTTTTGTCCAGCAAAAAGAAGTCAGAAGAGTGACTGTGTAAGGAGGTAAGGCCGTGACCCAGTTACTAATAATGTTCCACCTCAAACCAAACTCACATAGCTTATGTTAATACAGAGTGAGCTATGATGAACAGCTGTAAGATCAGATTCTGTTTAGTATAGTGTATTTGAATTATGGGTTTTTAGAGCTCCCTCCTGGGCTCTGTTTCTGCCAAAGATGGCCTGGAGGCATGGGGTGGTGCAGGGTGACTTGGACACTGGCCATCATGATAATCCTTCTCTAGCATTCCATCTTCTTTGCCAAATCAACCCTATGAGGTAGGTGTTATTATCATCCCCATTTTACAGCTGAAGAAACTGAGGAAAACAGAGGTTAAATGACTTTGCCCAAGGTCACACACACAGCTAGTAGTGTCTGAGGCCATATTTGAACTCAAGTTTTCCTGACTCTCGGGCCATCGTTCTATTAACTGTATCATCTAGTTGCCTTGAGGGAAGCTGTTTTCCTGTCACGGCCGGAGAGAAGCTGGAATAGATAGACAGGAAGAAGATGGAAAGGCTTCCTCTCTTTATGGAACTGTTTTAACCTATATTTGGTGAAGAGAATGAAGAGAATTCTCGAGAAGAGACTTTGCTTGGTATCTTGAGTGAACTGAACTGTGGAGCCAATTAATTAGCAATAAGGTGAAGTCATCTATAGTAACAGTAATAGCAGTGATTCCAGCTGTGATCTTTCTTAAAGGTAAAATATGACACAGAGTTATTTAACTACATTGTTAATAAAACACATATGAAATTAGGAGTTTTGTAGGGATATGAACAATTGTTTATGGGTTAAGAGATTTCTCCAGTTTATTAAATCATATATAACAAACCATGGTGGGGGGTAAGGGTCTGAGATAATTAATGAGAAAGAGGTTGATATATTATTAAATAGTAAGAAACAAACATATCCTTATATTAGCTTAGGGTTTGGGATAATGAGAATGAATATGATAATGAATCAACTAAGCAACAAGCAGGGAGGTCACACCATAACGTTGTTACACAGAGAAAGTCCCAGAGCACACTGGGTGAAATCCTCATAGAATATTTATGGCAGAACACGGACACGATCTGCAGAACATTTGCAAAGGATGGAGAGGCACAGATGGATTTCAACCATACCACTGGAGGGAGTATTCATATAAATGAAATGAAAGATCCATTTCAATATTAGGGTCTTATGCCACTTCCATGTCTTTAAGATTTGTGTGAAAAGACCAGCCATTGAACAGCCTCTCTTTTTCCTTTTTTTCCATGAACCAAATAATCTGAGTAAATTGGGTCAGGCATAACCTTCAGATCCTCCCCTTTTCTCAGTTATTTTGGTTACTAGGCATTCAGGATCTTCTTTGCCAACATAGGCCTTTTTCCTTCTATGGCATCTTCTCAGTTCAGAGACATTTGAGATGCCTTAAGGGACTGATGTCAAACTCAAATAGAAATGGATCCCTGTAGTCTATGATTTAGAAGACTGCAAATTATGGACTATAGCTTACATGTAAGGATGACGTCTATAGGAGTCATTCACCCGTCATCTGTATTGTGTGGTATTTTTATTGACTTTGTTAAACATTTCCCAATTATATCTTAAATTGGTTCTGGCACTGGGCTGTAGGGGAATTGAACACCTCTGTCTTAGGATACTAGAGGCCTGCTATTTTAGCATAGATTGCTTATGCCCACATGTTTTGCTGTCCGTTCACATACTGTTTTAAATTATACTGCCCTTTGTGGGACACGTTTCATATCCTAAGCCAAAAACTACTTGACAGCAGGAAATATCTGTTGTTTTCTTTCTATGGCATCTAGTACAGTAGGACAAACCATTAAGTGCTTAGAATGCTCTGTGATGATGAAGATGATGGTAAAGAGTATTTTTGACATGGTTGTAGTCAGTCAGGCCTTCTACCAACTTGGTTCCATTTGATATTAACATAAGTGAAAATTATCTATTTTATTTTGTGCTTAAAGTATGCTGACTGTATGTGTATTCATCTATGATATAACTCATTTTTTTGGGTCCCCTTCCTCACTTACCATGTATGAGCTCTGGGCAATTTCTCAGGGCTTCCCCATTGCTCTATTGTAAACAGCTGAGGACCATTTGAACCTAGATTAAAGAAGAAAATACAATTTAACATGCATTAGTGATAGTAGAATTGATCTGAAAAGTGAAAAATGCATGAGAAGGAAAGAACAGGGGAGAAAATGAGTCTACTTAGAGTCATGGTAAAAAACAAACAAACAATAAGAGGGTTATGGCCTCCAGACCTATTCCTTAGATTGCCTCTTTGTTTGCAATATGCTATTTAATGTCTGGTTAAACAAAATCCTTATATAAATTCACAACCAAAAATTTATATTATTTTCAGTGTGGAGTTTTCCCAAAGTCTCATAAGCAGGCACAAATGGTCCTGATACCTTTAAGTTGGAAGTGAGTACTTTAAATTAAACACTACTTCATAAAAATAAATGTAATAAAATCCTCACCGTGTGCAATAGATAGAGCTTTGCTTATTTATGATTTTAATACATTGTAAACAATGAAGAACTCAATCTCCCACATGAGAGGTTCTTAAGTCTTATTATTCTGTTTCTTTTCATTAATAACAAAACCAAGGCACTATACATGACGGCATGAATTATTAGGTTAAAATGTATGAAGACCTCTATTTAACGAAATTCATTTACATGAGACCTACACAAAGTGAATTTCTGAGAACACAGAAAATATTAAGCTTGATTAAGAAGTCTAGAGGAGGCATCATCTACCCTTAGGCAGCTCCATCTTGGAAAACACATTGGCCTGGGTTTTCAGGAAGAGTTTTCGCCCCATGCATTCTCTCGCTTACCATAAAGCTCAGCAAATCCATTCATAGGCACTCGGGATGTCCCCGTAACAAACTGCAGTAACCGGATACGCTTCTCAGCATCCATCAATAACACGGCCTATAACAGAGACATACGGTCATTATGTCTCCTATGCAGTACTGCAGCACTTGCTGCTGTAACACAGACATTCAAAAAATCATTTTATTTATACTGTAATATAAGACCTAGACAGTCGAGTCTGAAAATTGAGTCATATTTTTGAATGTCGCCATGATACCAGCCTTTCTAATCTTAGAAAGAGATCAAATATTCACAATGTCTCTTTTGTCTGCCAATATGTCAAAATGCATTATATAAAAAGCTAACATCGATGGTGTCATCACCCTTATGATTCTGCCTATAAGGCATGGAGATCCCCCCACCCCAAGGTCAAGTACAAACATAAGATATTACATAAATTTTACTAGCAACAGAAACTCAAGGTACAAACCTGGGTTTCCTATTTGAGAAACCTCTAATCAAAGGGTCCTTAAACTTTGTGTGTCCTGTGCCCCTTCGGCTGTCTATTGAAGCCTATGGACCCCTTCTCAAAATAATATTTTTACATACATAAAATAAGATATATGGAATAAAAGAAACCAATTCTATTGAAATCATCATCAAAATATGAAAACAAAAAAGTTCAAAGACCTCAGGTTAAGAACCCCTGCTCTAATCAATGGTTACAAAAATGAAAGGAATGACATTCTTTAAAATCTGACCATCCTCAGTCAATCAACATTTATTCTCAAGACCTGACTATGGGCTAGGCTTTGTGCTAGTTAGCTGAGAATATAAAGACAAAAGCAAAACAACCCCTGTCCTCAAGGAGCTTACATTCTAATAGGGAAGGCAAAACACACCTAAACAGATATGTATAATATACTGACAAAGCAGATATAAGGTAACAGATGGAGAGTATTATCAGTGTGGGATCCAAGAAAGCTCCTGTAAAATGCAGTGTTTGAGCTTCTAAATGCTGAGGGAAACCAGGGATTCCAAGAGGTGGAGGTCTGAAAGAAAGGGCATTTCAGGTATCAAAGAGCAAAGTTAGGGAGATGGGAGAATGGTGGTGGTGGTGGTGGTGGGGTCATCACATATCAAGGATAACAATGAGGTGAGAATGATTGGACTAGAGTATATAGAGGTGTAATAAGTATAATATAGTGTGTAATAGAGTATAATGGCAGCTAGGTGGCGCCATAGTGCACAGAGGGCTGGGCCTGGAATCAGGAACACTCATTTCACTGAGTTCAAATCTGGCCTCAGACACGTGAAAGCTGTGTGACCCTGGGCAAGACACTTAACCTCGTTTGCCTCAGTTTCCTCATCTGTAAAATGAGCTGGAGAAGGAAATGGCAAACAATTCCAGTATCTCTGCCAAGAAAACTCCAAATGGGGTCACGAAGAGTTGGACACAACTGAAAAATGACTGAACAAAACAACAGAGCATAAAAAAATGTAATAAGATAAAACGAAGCTGTAAAGATAGGATGGGGCCAGGCTTTGAAGAGCATTAAATGCCAAATAGTGGAGTTTACAACTTAATCCTATAGGTAAGAAGGAGACACCAGAGTTTATCAAGTAGGAGAGTGACATGATCAAATTTGCACTTTAAGAAAATCCCTTGGGGGGGCAACTAGGTGGTGTAGTGGATAGAGCACCGGTTCTGGATTCAGGAGGACTTCAGTTCAAATCTGGCCTCAAACACATAACACTTACTAGCTGTGTGACCCTGGGCAAGTCATTTAACCCCACTGCCTAGCCAAAAAAAAAAAAAGACAGAAAATCCTCTGGGGCAGTTAGGTGGTACAGTGGATAGAGCTCTGGCCTTGGAGTCAGAAGGACCCCAGTTCAAATCTGACCTCAGACACTTGATACTAGCTGTGTGACCCTGGGCAAGTCGCTTAACCCCAATTGACTCACCAAAAAAAAAAAAAAAGGAAAGAAAGAAAGAAAGAAAATCCCTTCAATGGCTATGTCAAGGGTAATTTGGAGTAGAGAGAGACTATGCAAAAGAAGATGAGGGCTTGGATGGCTGTTGTGTGAGTGGAGAGAACAGAGCCTATGAGAGATATTAGAGAGAGACAAACATTTGTTGGAATACTGCTCTCTTCATCGTGCATGCTACTAATGCTAAGTTGGGTCAAAATACAAAGAATAATATAGGAAATGAAATCTTTATACTTCTGGTTTATCAAAAGAGTAGGAAAAGAAAGGAAAGGAAAATTCTTTATACTTAAACTATGGTTATACCATCATCTAATCACAAGACTGGGATTTCAAGTAGTTTCTCTGCAATCCATACCCTCTATGTCTCCTTTGGTATTCAACATGCAGCCTTTTGTTGACTACACTTTTGAAATCTTTCCAGCTTCTCCCCATTCCAAATAGATAATGGCACTAGGCTAATTAAGTCTTATTTCACATTACTCATTCCTGGAGCAATATAATCCCAGAATATTTGCAGAATTCCTTAGAAAATTAGGGATAGATTCTTTAAAAAGAATGGTATTTCAGAAAAGGATAAATTTTTTTTCCAATCTCAGTTATAAGACAATGGGAGAGGATACATTTGTCACAGTATTGATGGACAACATAAATAGTTTTGAAGATGTGCTCGTATGTTATTTAGGCAAGTCAACTTTTCCTTAATCTATATTCCCTAGTATTAAAAGAGAATGCTTTATAGTCTTACCATTAAGGATCATCCTTTAAATTTCTTTCTTATTACTTTTCCATTAATTAAAGGAATGATAAAAATTAATTCCTTCCATTAAGTACCACTCTAACTACTTTTTGCTCTGCATTGATAATAAGCCAAAGAATTTTTCCTAATCTTCAAATATAAATACTAAAATGAAAACAGCATAAGGCATAGCAGGAAGTACTCCTACTAGAGATAAATATAATCTACATACAGAAAAGACAGAACAGTCAGTACAACAGCTGGCCTTAGAACAACAATGTGGCCACAGTGTGGGACAGGGGCTTACCTTCCAGAACCACTGAATGACAGGGTGATTTGGGCAGTAGCCGTTCTTGTAAATAGCATGTTGTCTCCAGTCATTAACATCAACATCTCCAAGGCCGCACATCAGCAGCTATTTAGAAAAATCAATTCAGGTTTAAATGTGGAAGGTCTGAAAACTGAAAATCACACTGATGATTCAACCTACTCTCATCACCATTATTATTATAAAAATGGTTGCTGTTTTTTTTTTAAATAAAAACATCCATAACCCAATTCATCACCTTTCATAAAAGCAAATGGAATAAAGTTCCCATCTACATCTGCTGTAACAAACAAAAGAGATGACAATTTGAATCACACAAAAGGTGCTGTGGCTTTAGTGAAAAGAGGGCTAGCCTTAGAGTCAGGAGGACCTGGGTTCAAGTCCCACCTGTGACATATACTGGTTGTGTAGCCCTGGGCCAGCCAGTGAGATTCTCATTTCCAGGCACTCTCTCAGACTACAGGTGGCAGAGAAGGTATTGACTTGGTAGAAGAAATTCCTTACTGGGAATGCTCTAAATTGATAAAATCATATTTGGTTAAAGAAAAAGGGGACAGACTTCCAGTTTTTGTGTGTAACTAGGAAATCTATTAAATCTCCATCCTGCTCTTCCCCAAACACTTTAAAGATTTGAAAAATACATCACATTAACTTTTTGGGGCTTTTACTTACTAAACAAGTGTACTAAATTGTATTGATGTTCAATATTGTCATTAATAAAAAATAAAATCAATAAAGTATCTGATTTGTTAGACAAAATCGGAAGCTTTATAAAGTTGGCTCCCTTCCACATAGCTACCATCCCCACTTACTTGCCCATTCCAGGTTTCCATTATTAATGAGGCTTTCATTATTGTACTTCTCACCATCTTGCTTCACTGCCATTATCCCAACCCGATCTCCTCTTAGAAGCTGGAATCTCACCCAGTGAACAGGTACTTTTACCAATATTTGATCACTGGCCATAGGAAATGATTCCCAATTCGTGGCTGCTCAAAATCATATAATCCTCCATCTTATTTAAAACTCAGAGACTACAGATAATTAGAATAGGTCATGCATTGCATTCAACTCATTAGCTTCAAGCACATCCATGAACAAGGCTTTTATGTTAATTAGTCATTTATTAATATTGTTGTTTGTTTTTATTAGTTGTGACTTACACATTTAGGCTAGGTTTTTTTTAATTGTGTAAACCTGTTACCAGAGAAGATGTTCTCTTAGAATTCTATTTGACATAAGTGTAGAAGCAGCATGGTGTCATGAAAACTGGGACAATAGGGTCTGTGCCTTGAGTGATAATCGCTGTTCTGCTTTTTACTAATAATGTGGCTTTGTACAAGTCACAATTCCAGCTTCCATATGCTTCGGTTTCCTTATATATAAAATTAAGGAGTTGAATCAGATTATTTCTAAACTCCCTTCCAGCTCATAAATTGCATTGACAGTTTCCACTGTTTAAGGAAAGGACCTCAACTGAGATGTGCTCGAATCTAATGTCTCTTATTTATCCTTAACTAAAAGGCAAAAATAGGCTATCCCTCCCTCCCCCAAATTTCTGGATTCTAATCTTGACTTGACTAGTGAATTTCTCAAAAGACTCTTTTAACACATAAAGAAGGGATAATGGTTTTCATTGACTTTGGATTTTCATATTAGCTCTCCAGTATGAAGATGTTGAAAAGGATAATGAAGTCATCTCCTACTTTTTCTACTTCACTGTTCATTGAATGATTTAGGGGAAGGATGCTTTAAAAAGATATGTGTATAGCTAATATCTGATACAGATCGTTAGCACTGTAGTTTTGCCTGCCTATTCATGTAGCTGTTTACCACAACTGAGCTGCCACAGACAATGAAGAAGGAATCCCAACTCAACAGTGTGGTAGTAGAGTCCACATGGAGAATCTACGTCAGGGCTGGGCCTTCCTATGGGTTCCTTGGAACAGCTGGGGGAAGTAGTTGGGAATGTTGCTTCTGGATATGGTATGCATCTGTATTACTTCTCAGGGCCATGATGAAACCCAGAATAGTAGATTTCTTGGGATTCAAATCACTTATATTAACATTCATTTCTAACTGATATTGCTAAATGAGAGCTAACTGATTAGTTGCCATGACTCAGCTCATTTTCCCCAAACTAATAAAACCTATGCACAGCATAATTCACTTTTCCTTTCTTTGTAGAACATTATGAACTAGAGCAAAGAAAGATGTGTAACTGGTAGAAAAATGAAGAACCTTCTGATACACTTTTCAAAAAATTATAAAGGATTTAAAAGGCAACAAACCTCTAACTCGTTTTCATCAAAAATTTTAATCAAATCAATAGGAAGCAATTCTGTGAATCCCTAAAGGAAAAAAGAAAAATCAATAAATAATCCTGAGTTTAAAGGAAACATGATTTTTGTTCTTAACAAAATAAAAATTATTTTTAAAGGTTAGTTATTTATTTGTAGGTGATAGCATTTGTGTAATTCCAATTGCAAAATGTTATCCATTTTCCCCTCCCAAATATAAGTAATGAAAAACCTTGATTTTAGAATGGTTTAATTACTTAGTGTACCTTAAATTGGGTGACTGCAAGTATGTGGATTCTAAAACATATCCACGATACATTCAAGTGAGTCAATAAGTCCTAAAAATAAACAGGCCCACAGATGATGAATAGAATATCTTAAAATAACACATATTCCATGTATAACCAAGACAAACAAAATAAGGCAGTCATGTAGTATAGAAGAAAAAGTAACAGACAAGGAAAATCAGGAGAATCTGGCCCCTGACCATCTCACTAGCTGTGAGTTAATTCTCTTAGCCTCTCCGAGCCTCAGTTTCCAAAAACTAAAGATTGGATCTAAAATATGAATTTTGAAATTTTATGATATTAAATCTCTGAATTTCTTGGGAGTTTCTACCCATGGTCAGGGCTTTATTCCTTATTATATCTAGGGATAAACTTTAATTATTTTCAGGCACCTTGCCAAGAAGAACCAGAAGAATTTTCTAATTAGTTTAAAATGAATTAAAATTTGGATTTTTTTTTACTGTTGTGTACTTTAGATTTCCAATAGCTAATAAATTTTATAAAGCCTTAAAAAACATTTCAATTTGAGATGTTTTTTGTATGTCACAGACCCTTTTGTCAGCTTGATAAAGTCTACTTACCCATTCTCAGTATGTTTTTAAATAGATAAAATCAAATACATAGGATTATGAAGTAAGCCAATTAAACTGAAGTTACCAAAATATTTTTATAAAAACCCCTGATTTAGATCAAGATCTCACATACATATCATAATAAGCTCCAAAGAAATACATCTCTTATTTAAAAGGTCACATAATTAAAACATGGAGAAACAAGAAGAAAAAACTTTGTACAGTTATGAATTAGGGAAGAGTTCATGACAGATGTGGGATAAAGAGAAGCATAGAAGATATAAAGGACAATTTTTGATCATGTAAAATTGGAAAGTTTTTGCACAAACAAAAATGCAGTTAATATTAAAAAGGAAAAAAGTTAACTGGAAAAGTATTTGCAATAAGCTTCTCCAGTAAAGGTCTGATGTTCAAGATATGTAAATAACTGATTCCAAAATAAAAATTGTAGCCATTCCCTAATAGTCAAAGAATAAAACAGATAGTTTTTCCTTTTCTCTTCAAAACATTTATTTTTATTTATTTTTGTCATTTAAAAAATTTTTTTGAGTTCCATATGCTCTCTCTGCCTCCTGTCCCTTGCCTACCCATTTGAGAAGGTAAACAATATAATCTCAATTATACATATGAAATCATGCAAAATATATTTCCATATTAGCCATGGAGCAAAAAAAAAAAGGGAAGAAAAATAAAGTGAAAAAATTAAACTTCAATTTACACTCAGAATTCATCAGTTCTCTCTCTGGAGGTGAATAGTATTTTTCATTATGGGTCCCTTGGAATTGTCATGGATCATAGTCTTGATCGGAGTAGATAAGTCATAGTTGATCGTCATTATAATATTGCTGTTATATGTATAATGATCTCCTGGTTCTTCACCAATTTATATAGGTCTTTCAGTTTTTTCTGAAACCATCTTGTTCATCATTTCTTATAGCACAATAGTATTCCATCACAATTATATATCACAACTTGTTCAGTCATTTCCCAATTAGCGGGCATCCCCTCATTTTTACCACAAAGAGGTGCTATAAATATTTTTGTACATAGGTCCCTTTCCCTTGAATTTGATCTCTTTGGGATGCAGACCTAGTAGTGGTATTGCTAGGTCAAAGGGTAAACACAGTGAATAGGTAGTTTTCAAAGGAAGAAATCCAAGCCTATCAACAGTTATATGAAAAATGCTCCAAATCAAGAATAATTAAAGAAATTAAATTAAAACAACCCTGAGGTTATACCTCATACTTATCAGATTTGCCAAGATGACAAAAAGGGAAAATAAGATGACAGTTGTTAGAGACATGCAGGAAGACATCTGCACTGATAAACAATTGCTGGTATACTGGTCTAGCCAATCTGGAAAGCAGCTTGCAACTGTATTCTATACTGTGCACACCCTCTGCCCCAGAAATACCATTACTTGGCCTATACCCCTAAAGTATTCAAAGAAAAAGGAAAAGGATCCATATATACAAAAAAATTTATAGGGGCAGCTAAGTGGCACAGTGGATAGAGCACTGGCCCTAGAGTCAGGAGGACCTGAGTTCAAATCTGGTTTCAGATACATAACACTTACTAGCTGTGTGACCCTGGGTAGGTCACTTAACCCCATTGCCTAACAAAAACAAAAAACAAAAACAAAACAACAACAACAAAAAATTTACAGCGGCTCTTTTCAGTGTAGCAAAGAACCGGAAACAAAAGAGGTATCCATCAATTGGCAAATAGCTAAACAAATTGTGGTATATGAATATAATGGAACATTAGTTATGAAATTATGAAAAAGATAGTTTCAGAGATGTATGAACTGACGCAGAATGGTGTAAGCAGAACCAGGAAAATAATATATACAGTGATCACAACACTGTAAAGATGAATAACTTAGAAAGAATTAAAAACTCTAATCATTGCAAGGATCAAACATGAAGCATACTACTAAAACACGCATCCTGACAGAAGGATGAAAGACTCATGGTGTAAAATGAAGCATACCTTTTTGGACATGGCAAATGTGTGGGTTTGTTTTGCTTGACTATGTTTATTTGTTACAAAGATTAGATTTTCTTTTTTTCCCCCCATGGTGGAGGGGGAGCGAAGATTTGAGGGACAAAGTGAGCTAGTATTAGCATTTCTCTCTGCCCCCAAAAAGAAGAAAATTAAGAAAAATACTCTTTGAAGCATTTCTTTAAGCAATGCATAGAAGAAAACAGAGAAAAAGAGAAAACCTTTAAGAGTAACATGTTGAATTTATTTACATTAAAAAAAAATTTATATAAAACAGAGATTTATTATTTCACAAATAATCTTTTTCTGTTATAGTATGTGGAAATATTCATGGGGGTGGTATTTGTCAAATTCAGAATTTAAAAAAATAGGCCTTCCCTCCTCCCTTTGATTCTCATATCCCCCGGTCCCTGAGACAGGTTTAGGATTGTATTTCCTCAGCACATGATAGGGTCATGAAAGAATGGAAAAATTGATTAACCGATTGAGATGGATGAAAGCTTAGTGGATACAACAATAAAAACAATGCAGCCAAAAGGATAATGATATGATGTTTTACTATAATAAAGAGTGATTTATTGTGCAGGGGATGTAGAAATTAATAAGACTACTATAGAAGAAAGCTGAGAGTTGGGGAGAAATATATAGCAGAAGTTAATACTCAGAGTGACAATGGAATCATTGAAAATGTCATTTAGGACATTTGCTCCTTAACTTCAAAGTTGTACAGAACACATCACTTTCGAGAAGAATCTAGAAATGGCGGGCTTTTGTCCCACATTGGCTTAAACTTCTAGACTTTAGTAAAAAGACTGGACAAGCTTTAGGGGCATTATTATGTAAATATTCTCACTGAAAAGGCACGAAAGTAATATAAAAAAGATGAGAGAAACAGAATACAGCAACATTTCCATAAAAAGGGAACTAACCTAGAGGTTTTCAGGTGCCTTGCTCCTATTGCTCATTATCATATCTTCCTTGTAGACACAGAAAAGGCTGTATAAACTGCATAATTCTGAAGGATCTATCCTGTATCTTTCCCACTCCTGACCCAGCTTTGAGGTTATTGATCAATTCCATCATATCAACCAAATTTGGAGTGGGGCTGATTGTGGAGGGAAGTCCTCCCTCTACTATGACTAAGGAGACTTGAGCAACAAATGATAGCCAACACAACTTACCTCCAAAAAGGCATTCATTTGTTTTTGGACTCTGTTGACGAATCTCCACTGGATGACTAAGCTAATATAAGGAAGATGAGATAATATTAAAAACAAATCTTCACCATCATTCTTTTCTATTTATTAATTTATAACTTCATTAATTCCTTATTAATTAGTGAAATTAATATAAAACCCAAAAATGACAGAAGAAGAAGGGCCTTCTACTTGGTACAAGGGTTTTCATGTACTTTCCAATATATAATTACGGAATCTGGCAATAGCATTACATTGCAGAAATAGAACTGCCAGGAATTGACACCTAATTGGATATGAGGGCAGGAGAGAAGGTGTGGATTCAAAGATGACTTTGAGTTTTTGAGCCTGGGTGGCTGAGAGGATGTGAGCACCCTCAATAAAAATAGCTAGTTTAAAAAAAAAAGTAGAGCTAGAAGGGTACAGTACATTATGTTGACCACTTTCTTATGTGATTCTTATCTAATTGGAAAAATCAAACTTTAAGCTATGGCATTAGAACCCTATTATGTAAGAGTTACTCTCTCTGTCCTGGTCTCTGAAGTTCAGAGACCCCAAACTGGCTGTGTAAATGTTCCAGGGAAGTACCACATGTTCCAGTAACCAACAATTTACCCTCCAGTGCCTCACTGGACAAAAACATCATGGCTATTTAGTTCATAGTGAAGCAAGTAAATAACAAAATTCAAATTAGAAAAAAAAATTGCAATTCTGATCTTGGGGTTGATCTCAAGGAAAAAAAAATCTTGTCATCGAACAAGAAGCAATAAAACTCATGTCTGTAGCATACATCAAATTTGTTATTATGGCTAATTTAAGAAAGGCTGTAAAATAGAAGAATACATACTCAATATATTCCCTTTTGTTTTCATTTGTCACCATGATTTCTGACCCATTGGGCTTCAGGTCCACTTGGTATGTCTGTATTTTCAAAGACAAACAAAAGATCATCAGGAAACTACATTGCATATTTTCTTAATGATTTTTTTTTAAACAGGGTTCTCTTATGTTCTGAATACCTATTAATTAACATGGAATGTGCTAGAATGTTTAATGAGGTTTTCAGATGGGACTCCAAAGATACTTCATACCTAAAGATGTCATCATTGAAGGCAAATTATCTTATGATTATTTATGAGTCTGAATAATATCCCATACATCATTATCGAATGAGAAGAGGAGGTTGCTGCAGCAACTCCCAGCTCCTAAGCACACAGCAAAGGAATTCACTCTGCTGAACAAAGGGGAATCCATTATGTACTGCAGGAACACAGAAAGCCAAGTGTCAATATAAAAACCACTTCTGGCTCTACAGAATCACACCTGGAATTCACGTTCTTGTAAATAAGCAGGTTAGTTGCCAGTTTAGTTCACATAGCCACATATGCTGGTCTACTTGCTCTTCCTCACATATGACACAAGAATTCCTATCCGTGTGCCTTTCCACTGGTAGTCTCCCATGGCTGGAATGATCTTCCACTTCACCTTTGACTTTGGCTTCCTCCGAGATTCATTATAAGAAGTTCGGCCTGCACAACAGGCCTGTCCTGGTCCTCCCTTCTTCCCAGTTGCTATTGCCTTCTCCTCTGAGATTACCACTCATTTATAGTAATATATTACACACACACACACACACACATATACACATATGTATACATACACACAGATGTATAATATGTATATACACAAATATCTTATATGTACTGAGTAACTTACATGTTGTTTCTCTCATTTGAATGGGAGCATCTTGAGGGCAAGGACTATTTTTTGCCTTTTCTTTGCATATCCATAACTTAGCACAGTGCCTGGCACACTGAAAACACTTACTAAATGCTTGGTGACTGAAGGACTAATGTGCGCAGAGAGGTAAAATGATTTTCCCAAAATCAGTCAGTATATGTCAGAGTTGAGATTTGAAAGCAGGTTATCCTGACTCAGAAACTGACTCTTGAATCACTGTACCATTCCACCCCTCAGATCACTCTATTTTCAAAGTTTTAATGACTACTTTCATTTGTATGACATTTCTTATGATGTATCTCATTTTAATGTAGCTGAATAATTATTCGCTTTATTATCGTGCCTCATATGGTCTTTAGTCTGGAGTTTTTAGTTTCATACTAATGAGTGTCTTGTTTTTTGTGTTTTGTGCATGAGATAATTCCCCATGCTTGGAAATGAGAGACTTTTCAGATGCCTCAATTTTCTCAGTGAAAAAACCTTTAATCGGGTCTCTGAAAGGAGCAGCCCCAGGTTCTGTCAGATGAGAAGGAAAGCAAATCAGGTAATAAAGGCAACATCTGCATCTTGATTACATGGAGAAAGAGCCAACAACCAAATGTGTCATGTTCTTACATTTCCAAATGGGGAAGGGAAGGAATCAGAAAGACAGCTTGCAGACATCCCTAGTCATTATGGGAAGAGCATTTGCCTCACTTATATTAGTGAAATGACTTACAAATCCTTAATAGCAACTAATTAACTTTTCTTTATAGAAGGAAAATGTAAACTTCCATCTTGGTTAGACTAATTTTAAACATACAATCAACATGTTTGTTGAGGTGTGAAGAGGGGACAGAAAAGTTGCTAATTCTTTATGGCCTTCAAAACAAAAATAACAATTTTTCAATGGGTAGAAAGAGATGTAGCAGGAAAAGAATGGGATTTTAAACTCACTTCAAAGGGGCAGCTAGGTGGTGCAGTAAATAGAGCTCTGGCCTTGGAGTCAGGAGGACCTGAGTTCAAATCTGGCCTCAGACACATGACACTTACTAGTTGTGTGATCCTGGGCAAGTCACTTAACCCCGACTGCCTCACAAAAAACAAAACAAAACAAAGCAAAACTCACTTCATACCAAGCTTGTTACGTTATGCTTGGAGATTATCTCATCTTTTCTTCCTATCTCCCCTTCATAGGACTTATCTGTAAAGTCATGATAGTCAAATGTTCTCTTATAAGTGGACGGAGTTTGAGTTTTTCTTGCTACTTGGTATTCCTGTCATTCATACAAAGCATGAAATATCTGATGCGTGTATTTGGGGTTTCATATTATTATTTTTCTCTTATTTTTACTTTTGTCGCCCAAGAAAGTTATATTTTCAGGAAGACTACCAAATTACACTTACAGGTGCCCAGAAGTAAAGCTCGTCCAATGAACAGGTTCAGTTAAAGGTACCAACATTACTGAAGATCAAATTATTTATTCTTCTTGCACTGAATGTGGTTTCTATTCCATTAATTCACTTTAAAATTAAGTTAAACATTATCATCAGGATATCCTTGCACACTAGTTATTTCTACCTTTTTTTTTCTCTGAAGACCACATCTAAACTCAGAAAAGTTAAAAATGACTTCTTTGAGGGCATATGATAAATATGCCAGAGGCAAGGTCAAAATAGTTTCTGATTCACAACCCAATGTTCTGTCTTTTTACACTACACTCAAGTTACTGGGTACCTATTTGTCTATAGTCGCTTGAGTTTTATCATGGTCAAGTAGCCAAAAAGCCTGCCTACTTAATTGGAAAGAAAGCTGCAAGGATCCCAAGGTTCTATCCTGCTTAAGTATGCAGGTCTCAGGAGTTGTCCTTAGCCCTTTATAAGCACACTCATATTTTTCTACCTGGAAGTGATGGTCCTGTTTAGATACTTAGATAATTTACACTCTTATTCAAAGGCTTTTTCCCTTCTTGTTGCCTATATGGTCTTTATGTCTATCTCCTATAAATTCCTTTTCTCAGTCTTAGTTTTTAAGGTAACAGATGGTATAGACCTTGTCATTGCTGACTGGCATGGTACAATTAACATACAAACAGTCTATTTTGTGAATATTTTTTAATGGTCATAAAAAGAAGTCCACTTCTAAAGGCTCAAAAAGAAACAGAGATGGACAAAAATAGATTAACATCTTATCTCCTTTCCCCTTTGTTTCCTGGACTATAGTTAATACCTTCCTTTAGAGAGAGGATGACATACATCAGTGAAATGGGTTTTAAACGCTATGACCCATATCTAAGACATAGGTGAATTTACTCTCATTTAAGGAATGTAGGAAAAGTAGAAACTGTCTCTGACATCTTAAGCATCCTCAGGTTTGCGAAAATGAACTCTTCCTGCCTTGTATAAGCCATAAATCACTATGTCAGAAGTTAGGAAACAAGTGCAAAGGCTGTGTTATCTTATTGGAATTGAGAAGAAAGGTTGAAATCTGTGCTTCAGGTAGCCAACCGGCCTTAAAGGCACCATATTTCAGTATCCCTTACACTCAAAATAGCCACTATGTTCTTAATTCTAGCTAGTTAGAACAGAGCTGGATACATAAATGCTGTTATGAATGAGTAGCGTTTTTTTCTCCTCACTGGTAAAAATAACATTAGTTTTAGGTGTTCCTTGGATCACTGGAAGCCCCACTGAATTCTGGTCCATTTGGATTACTATGTTTGACTGGGTACTATATATTTTTTCTTCGACAATACACTGATCCGCCAGCACTCAAATGCCTAAGGATGCTGCCTGAATGAAATTGAGAGTACGTATCATTTCACGTTTATAATTTATAATACAGTTTACCTATAAGCTTATATATTGTTCACAGAAAAGAAATAATATATGTTGTTGTTCAGTTGTGTCTGACTTTTTGTGATCCCACTTGGGGTTTTCTTGGCAAAGACACTAGAGTTGTTTGCCATTTCCCTCTCCAGCTCATTTTACAGTAGAGGAAATTGAGGCAAAAAGCGGTTAAGTGACTTGCCCAGGATCATATAGTTAGTGAATGTCAGAGGCCAGATTTGGACTCAAGAAAATGAGTCTTCCTGATTACAGGCCCAGCGCTCCATCCACTGTGCCACCTACCTGCCCCTGAAAAGAAATAGGTACATTTTATCATTAACAGCTCAGTGCCAACATCACCATTGTATTTGACCTGAGTTTTTGTTTAACCTCATATTTTATGAGAAACACTAACAGATTAGAAAGCCTCCAGAAAGGATGAAGAGCTCAGAAACGATCTCATATTGGTAATGTTTAGCATGAAGAAGGGACGGTTAAAAGGAAGACATGACAGATGCCTTCAAAAAGTTAGAGGGGTGTCACGTGGAAAGGGGAGCAGACTTACAGCACAATGAAGTAGGCAAATGGGGGAAAGCTTGAAGAAGGCAAATATTAGCTAAAAATAAGAAAGGCTCTTTTAAAAAGCCAGAGCAATCCAGCAACAGCAAGGACTCTTCATTCTTGGAGGCATAAGTAGAATCTGGATGACAACAATGATGTTTTCAAACAATGTTTCTTGCATTGGTTAGAAAGCTAGACTGAAAGATTTCTTAGTTACCTTTCAACTCTATTATTCTAAGATTCTACCAAATTAAATTTACATAATGTTTTTAACTTTTGGAAGTGCTTTCTTATCTATTTTCACATTTGAAATTCAAAACCCTCCAAGTGATAGATAGGACTGGATTATCCTTATTTTACAGCTGAAGAAACTGATACTTGGAAGGATTAAGTGGCTTACTTGAGATCACAGAAATAGTGGGAGAGTTGGAATGAGAAGCCAGGTTTCCTTGCAAAATCTATCTTACATGCTCCTTAATTTTTAGGGCTCAGTCACACATTAGATCTGGGTAAGCTGAATGACCTTCTGATGGACAGTAGTGTTTCTATGGATTGAGGGTCCTAGGATATGACTCTTAACATTTCTTTTTTTTTTTAAATAATATTTTAATTTCTCCCCAATTACAAGTAAAAACAATTTTTAACATTTGTGGTCTTTTTTTTTTTTAAGTTTTGAGTTCCAAATTCTATTCCTCCCTTCTTCCCCACTCCTCACTCCCAAGACAGTAAGCAATCTGATATAGGTTATACATGTGCAATCATGTAAAACATTTCCATATTAGTTCATTGTGTGACTCAACATTTTTTTTTTCAATTCTTAACATCCCTAATGTTCTTATTAAGAGGAGAAGAGAATATGTGTCACAGGAGAAAGAGTGAAATGAATATTTCTGGTATTCCCAAGGTAGTAAAAAAAAATGAGTAAGTCTAAAATGAAGGTGAAGTTTCAAAAGAGAAGGATATTAAGGAATTTCAAAGAAACTCTAGGTGAAAACACTTGCCACAATTTGTTCTTCCTTTTTATTTTATTTTTTTAATTTGTTTTTTTAAGATTCATTAATTTATTTTTAATTTTCAACACTTACTTCCACAAGATTTTGAGTTCCAAATTTTCTCCCCATCCTCCAACCCCAAGACAGCATGTATTCTGAATATTCTTTCCCCTAATCTGCCCTCCCATCTATCTCTACTTCATTCTCTTATGCCCTTCTTCTACAATTTTCCCGTAGAGCAGGATAGATTTCTATACCCCTTTCCTGTATTTCTTATTTCCCAGTTGCATGTGAAAACAATTTTTTTAACATATGTTTTTAAAACTTAGGGTTCCAAATTTTCTCCCTTCCTCCCTCCCCACCCACCCTCATTGAGAAGGCAAGCAACTTGATACAGGTTATACATGTGTAGTCATGCAAAACACTTCCACAGTAGTCATGTTGTGAAAAACTACCTATATTACCCTTTATTCTATCCTGCCCCCCATTTATTCTATTCTCTCTTTTGACCCTGTCCCTCCTCAGAAGTGTTTGCTTCTGATTACCCCCTCCCCTCTATCATCCCCCTGATCTCTTATCCTCTTCCTCCCTATTTTCCTGTAGATTAAGATAGCTTTCCATACCCAATTGAATGTGTATATTATTCCCTCCTTAAGCCAAATCTGATGCAAATAAGATTCACTCATTCCCTCTCCCCTTCTCCCATTTCCCCTCCACTGTAAGAGCCCTTTCCTGTCTGTTTGATGTGAGATAATTTACCCCATTTGACTTCTTCCTTTTTCCTTCTCCCAGTATAATTCTCTGTGCTTCCTGTTTATATCAAACCTACACCAACAGTACAAGGTCAACAAAGGACTGGAAACTGATACATACTAGGAACCAACATACTGGGCCATACATTTATGTATATTTCTTGATAAAAAAAAATAAAACAAGAAAAACCCACAACTAGTTTTCTTGTAATATTCTTACAATTGTTTTTGTGAAGTGGAACCCATAAGACTTGTTCACATCTCTAGTGTAAGAGAATAATCCCTTTGGGAAAGAAGGACTTGAAGAGGGAGCAGAGGATTATGTTTTAGATGATATGAAAATTAGTCAATTTGGGTGACTCCAGAGTATACATTTGCCTCTTAGAATTACTGCAACAAAAGACAGATTGTAGTTTGCTAATCCTTCTGGGCAAGGCGAGAGACATTGGAAAGGTTATTTTTCCAAGGGATATTTGAGGGAATTGAAGTACGTGGATTTCAGGGGGGAGAAGGCTGCACATAAGGCACTGGTTTCATATGAAACAGGTCAGCTAGGTTATGATCCAGGCAGCATGAAACAGCAAAGAGCAATAGTATGGTAATTAGAACATTTGGGTTCTAATTTGTTGCATAAGCTACCTCTCAGTTTCCTTATTTACAACATAAGGGGTTGGGCTAGGTGATCTCCAAAGTATCTTCTAGCCTTAACATCTATGACACCATAATCTTTATTTGATGTAGCTGTCATCTAACCAATGAAAGTGTTTCTACTTTGAGGGAGTACCTAAATTCCCAAACAGAGAGCAAAGACTCTGGCGGCCAGCTCTTACCCTAAGAAGATATTGGCCTAGTGCCCATAGGGCAGTCTTAAAACTTCCATTAGTGTTTGCTAGGAACAGACTGGAACAGAAATCTGACACCCTACCAAAGTAATCAGTTAACCCCAATACCAGTAGATGAAAATTATTCACCATTTAAAACTGATGAATGTTCCTTACTTTTTGAAAAAAGCATCATTATGACATGATAAAGAAAAATACAACTTTCCAAGTCAACAAAGAGCAATAATTGGGTTACCCAAATATACCTGTCCAAAGTTTTCTTCATCTATGCAGAACATGAGATCAAGTTCAGTAGGATCATTTTCTAAGATCCATTTCAAGGAGTTGTAATATTCACTATCCTATAGGAATGACAGAAAATTATGAATGAGCAATACAAAAGCATTTAATTTGTCAATTAGGTGAGTGTCCTGCTCAATTACACACATTTAGAATGACTACAAATTATGGCATTTCATGATGTTAACTTGTCCCATTCCCAGCATAACTCTTGTCTCCTACTGTGAAGAACAATACACTAAAAAAAAAAAGTTTTGCAGCAGCTGGGGCTTAGTGGTAAAGTCCTATAAACAGTAGTATACATGAATAGTTCTCAAGGTAGGGTGGTCTAGGCAAGAATATATAACTATGACAAAGGAAAGATAGATGTTAATTGGTATAGATAACAACTTTGCCTGGATTTAGGTATGTCTTTGCGTTAATCACTAATGTTCAAGAAAACAGGGCAAAAATATATGATCAAGGGCAGCTAGGTGGCACAGTGGATAGAGCACCAGCTCTGGATTCAGGAGCACCTGAGTTCAAATCTGGCCTCAGACACATAATACTTACTAGCTGTGTGACCCTGAGCAAGTCACTTAACCTCATTGCCTAACCAAAAAAAAAAAAAAGATCAAGATGAATAAAAATTGTCAGTACATGATCTTAGGTTGATATTGTCAGCAACCAGAGATTCACTCAATTCTTCCTTTCATTTTAGAATGGAAATGCCAGGAAAACAGTGAAGGATGAAGAATAAATGTGATTTTGTTTTATCAAGCTCTAGAAAGAAGTTTGATAGGGAATAAAAATTGGATAGAATAAACCATCTTGATTGATTGATATGTAGATTTAAATTATCTATATAGCCATTATTCTCTCTCCAGTATCCCTCAATAATTTAGCATTAGGTATATCTGCTAAGATTGGTATAATTGGCAATTGCATGGAAAATATTTTGCTTATTTAAAAAATAACATCTAAGAAACCTTCCTATTTTTCTCTGTTCCATTCCATGCCACGTCCACCCCTCTCCCCCACAATAGATTGTATTACTTTTATTAAAATATCTTCTTGGACAAGTCACTTAACCTCTGCCTCCGTTTTCTCATTTGTAAAATGAGGATAATTATAGCACCTAACTCCTGGGGTAGTTGTGAGGATCAAATGAAATAGTAATTGTCAAGTGCTTAACACGGTGCCAGGCACTGTGTTACATGGTAAGCATTAGATAAATGTCAGCTATTATTATTATCTTGGGGGAGAACCAGTCGAACTAAAAGAATCAGAAAGTCAACTATTTTTTTTCCTAAGGAAAAACACCACAATTACTTAAAACATGAATAATCTGTGTTTACTCACCACTGACTCCATATCATTCAAAGTTATCTGCTTTCCCAGCATCATTTTGTAAAATGGTCTAATGAAGAAACCTAAAATAAGGTAATAACTGAATTTAGTTTTAAGCGTTTACTATTGTTAAGCATCAAAGCATGAAATAAAAGACAGGCTCTTATTGAAAAGGTAGAGAGAATAATTATAGGTGCCTCAGCAACATCACAACATGTGGGCAGAGCAGGTGTTTGGGGTACCAAAAGATACAGGACAGAGCTCATCATCCTTGACTTCTCAACAGTATTGTTGACCTTTGCCAATAAAGTTGCCACTGACTGATCTCTCTTCCTTTGGCTTCAGAACTATCACACTCTCCTAGTTCTCTTCCTACCTCTAAATGTCTTTCTATATCCCCTTGTCATTTTTCTAACACCTTAAAGTGGATGCTCCCCAAGGCTTTATTTTTGTCCTTTATTGCCCATTTCATCCACTTCCATGATTTGTAAGTACCACTTCTACGCTGATAACTCCCAAATGTTATGAAAGAACTTTCCCCCCTACATCCACACATATCTATACCTGTATTTCTTTTATGCACATGTATAGTATTTTGTAATATAGTTATTTACCTATATTTATAATATATGTTTTTATTACATAGCTGTATACCAAATTCCCCTACTAGGAAGGGAAGGGGGTATAACTTATTGAAACTCTGTATATTTAATCCAATAGTTAGGCTTTTAGGGAAAGCAGCTCCAGTGTAGGACAAGGCTAAAATACTCTGCTGCTCTGCATGAGCAGCATTGGGTTAAGGATCCCTGATCAGCCAAGATAATTCCAAAGGACTCATGATGAAAAATGATATCCACACCTCCAGAAAAAGAGCTTATAGAATCTGAAGGCAGATCAAAGCATACCATTTTTCATTTTCTTTATTTTCATTTCATGGGGGTTTTTTTTGCTTGTATTTTTGGCTTGTATCTTCTTTCATAACATGACTAACATGGAAATATGTTTTACATGACTGTACATGTATAACCTATGTGAAATTGCTTATTGTCTTAGGGAGGGGAGAGGGAAGGGAAGAAGGGAGAAAATTTGGAGCTCAAAATTTTTAAAAATTAATGTTAAAATTGTTTTTACATTTAATTGGGGAAAAAATAAAATACTATTTTTTTAAAAAGGATCCCTGATCAGAAAAATTAACGGAACAAAATTAGAATACAACACAATTTTCATTGTTTTAGCATTTTTAATAACTTACCATCTAGGAGCTTCCCATGAAACACTGCTAGGCCTGCTACCCGTCCAATAAAAGTGAAATAGGACAGGTGATCTTCATTACAAAGGCCTGAATTGGGATTGATTTGAAGGGTGTAGTTGTCCCTTAGAGGAAAAAAAAAACCATGTAGTAATTTTTAAATAAAAAAGGCCAGAACAGAAAAGCCAACTGACAGGTTTTTTTTCTTTTCTGTTTAATTTCAGCCTACCTGGATGTATTCTGTAATTTAACAGAAAATGTATCTGTTTGTTAATTCCTTACTTCTGAGACATGCCCATATGTACTTTGACTTAGAAAGATGAGGAGAATGCTAGGTTGATGACACATAGCTTACACACTTGAAGTCAAGATTTTCTAATCACCACAGGATAGAGACTATCTCAAGACTAAGAAAGAAGCCTTTGAAATCAATGATATACTTAATTCAGCTCAATCTCCATTTTATTTCAGGGATTCACCCAGTGACTTTCTGGGAGAGCACATAAATTGTTCTTCCCAATATCCCAACATATTTGTACATACAATACTTGTACCCAAAATACAACAAAATATTTTCTCCCAGAAGGAGACAGTGTTCCATTCTTTGTCTTTGCATTCTAAGCACCTAGCTCAGTGTTTGGCACATAACAGATGCTTAATAAAAGCTTTTTGTTTGACTGGTTGGAGCATTCATTTAAAACTGGGAGGAGCCATTAAAGCCGTTCCATCCCACCCCCTCATTTTAAATACATGTAAGGGTCTGTAATCCAATTGGGATGCCCATAAAGGCAAAGCTACTCTGGTAAACTCCCATGCCACTGGAAAGAAAGGAAGACTCAAGAATTTTGTGCCTAAATAAAGGATACCAGTGGAGGACAGGGAGGAGAGAGGTAAGTTTCTAGGACAAAAAATGATTCTAACAAGGGCCTCAAAGCAGTATTAATCTTTTTATTAGTTAAGCTCACTGACACACACTCATGCCTGACTTTTTAATGTGACCATTGCTTCATTGCTTAGAATGACAAGTAGGGATTCTGAAATCCTTAATCATGAAGGAATTATGTTTCTTCTCACCACTTGCATACCGAAGCATGGGTCCCCAAAGACCTTATAATTTGACTTTAGGGGCTATTCTTGCTCATAAAAATGCTTTCTCCTTTTTAGAAGCATGACACTGACAAATTCTTTCCTTGAATTAACATTAGCAACGATAATTGCTTCTCTCTGCATGAATGCCATAATTACCAGAAACTTTTTTTCAATTTCAATTATATGAGTGCAACAGACAAGAAAAGAATCAGTCACTTTTAGGCTTTCATTGAACACATTAAAATACCAAGTAGATTAAGAATAATTTCTAGACTCATGGCCCAGGGGCCTATGCCAGCAGAATGAATGTGTTGAGTCACTGACTCTCTGCATTAGGATAAAATTCCAGATATACTCCATATACTTACGTGGCAGAATATTCAAAGAGACCATAGTAAGGATTAAACATCTCCTTGGACAACAAGAAGAACCATTCTCTGGCCACACCTCCATAATCAAGGCCTTTTTCGGACTCAAATTCAATCCACAGCCTGGCTTTTAGCACATCAGGTCTCTTGACAGACATGATCCTCCTATAGGATTCTTCAAATATGTTATTTCTGTGAAGCTTCATTTCAAACCTATTTGGAATATCGGCCTGCATAAAAGAAGACATAAAACACCTATCGATGAGAAAAAATGACAATGAGGAGATGGTCGAAGAGTCTCTGATTAAACAGGCAGTGATTGAATGGTTCCTATTCAGAGTACCTCTTTTGGGGATTTTCCTGTCCATAGAAGGTAAGCTTCCCTATGTCAAGATATGAAACATTTAGCCTCCATTAACAACTGTTCTGACTGAATCACTAACAAATGCTGCCTATTAAGAAAGGATGAATGAAAGAAAAAAGTGTCCCTTTTTTTATCTTTACCAGGCATTTTCTACCATCTGGTACCCAAGGACAGTCAACTCTAGTTATCTATAACAAGAGGAGGAGAGTCTTAGTAAAATCTGAACAATCCACCTAGCTGAGTGAGAATCATGGCACTGCTGCTAGAAAATTTGCTAAATGTCATATGTACAAAAAATTATAACAGCTCTTTTTGTAGTGTCCAAGAACGAGATACTGAGACAATTCCTTCATATGGGGAATAACAGAAAAAAATTATGACGTATAAGCATAATGGGATACTATTATGTCATAACAAATGATGAAAGGGACATGGAGGTCTAGTATGAACTGATGCCAACAGAGTTAAGTGAGCAGAATAAAACAACAACATTGTAAAAGATAACATTTGAAAGACTCAAGAATTCTAATCAATACAATGGCCAACCATCAATCTGGAAGACTGATGATGACTCTTGTTACCTGCAGCCTGACAGAGAGGAGATAAACTCAGGGTGCAGAATGAGATATGCTTTATGATATGGTTAATGCAGGAATTGTTTTTTTTTTTGCTTGACTATGAGTATGTTACAAGGGTTTTGTCTGATGTGTGTGAGCAGGGGGGGGAGGTTGAGAAAATAAATGTGTTGATTAAAAATAATTAAATCAAAAGTGTGTACACATCTGCCTAAATCAAGACAGTTCTTATATAGCAAAAACAATGGGGAAAGTAAGGGAAAAAAACTTGTTGGGTCTGTATCATGGTCCTATGATTTTAAGTCAATTTTTCTATTATGGAGGACAGAACCCAAACTTTGGGAAAGGGTGTCTACTGTTGACAGATAATTCATGGTAAACCTAACCATCATGAAGGAAAGGGGATTGCCTATAAAGGCAGTTGTCTCCTGGGAATATGAAATGCATTTAGACCTCTAAATGAAAAAGAAAGTCCTGACAGCAAGAGCCCAAGAGGAAACCACCCTTCTCCTTAGAGTTTATATGGCTTGTCAAGAAACTCAACACCAGTGTTCAGCAAGTGAAATAATGACAGAGAATGTAGGCGATGCATACATAATAATGATGCATACAGAAAGCAAAATTTTCTTTTAAATAACTGTGTTTTGAAGGACAGGCAAAATATCCTCATCAATATCTGTTTATGCTACAGAAGAGAGAGCAGGAGAGAGAAAAGGCAGCAAAAAGATATTTAGGATGAATGAAAATTGTGCTATAGTTTGCACATTTCTGGACAATGCCTGCCTAGCTGTGGCAACCTAGAATTGAGTGCATGAAGTAAAAAGGTATAGTCAGTCTGGTCTGCTCTGGTGACACTTCATAACTGAATTTACAAAGTAGAGAAAGGCAGAAGAGACAAGGCTGGACTGGAGAATGAATACAGGAAAAAGGAAAGAAAATTTTGATAAAATTTAATTCAGGACACAAACTAATAAAAGGACCTAAGGATTCTTAAAGGCAGAGGTGAGAAGGCCGGTGGACTATGAGAATGCCCAGAGGGAAAAGATGGAATGTCGAGTCTGGAGAATGGTGAGTGGTCAGGTTGAGTCAGAATACAGTGTCCGTGAAAGGAAGCAGAATTAAATGAAGCTGGAAAGGCAGGGTGGAAACTAACTATGGAGATCCTGAAATGCCAGATTAAGGAGTCTGTACTTTACCTCAGAGGCTTATGAGCAGCCTCTGATGGCTTTTAAGCAGGATACTAACAGGTACAGACATGAGCCTAAGGAAAATTATTTGGATAGCTGTAGAGAGGATGAATTAAAGAGGGAGTAATACCAACAGGAAAGGAGACAACAGAGAGGGAGAAAACAAAGATGAGAAAGACTGCTTGTAAAATCAATAACAAAAGTCCAGGTCTTATCCTTCTAGTATTTTAATAGAAACTTTACATTTAGTCCAACTACTGCCATAGAATCCAACTAATGCGTCACATAGAAACATTAGAGAAAAAGAGCAGAGGATTACAACTAAGATGACCATGAACAGCAGGTAGTTTTTCTTGCCTTGAACTTGGCCCAAGTTCTAATTATCCTGGTGGTTTTTTCCTTTTGCTTTGTATTTGGTGCAAACATTTTTATATTTCACAATAGATAGGAACATTGTATTGCTTATCAAAATCACTACATTTTTTCCCAATCTGTTCAATCAGTTCACAAGGATTTCTTAATCAACAGAAGCAAAGGGGGTACAAAGGCAAAATCATGATCTTTGCCCTCAGGGAGCTCACAGATCAATGGAATTAAAATTTTGACTGAGTTCACACTCTCATCCTTATTTATCAATAACTATGAAAAGAAAATATGGAAGCTGAAAAACCAAGTGGATCAAAGTATAGTTTTTAAAATGTGGTAACATGTTTAGTTTGAGTAATAATAATATAAAAAAGCCATATTCACATTGTTCTTACTAAATGAGGCTGTGGTAACTTCCAAAGGACAAATGACAAATACAGTGCTATACAAAAAGACAGGATTACTCACTGGTTTCTTTAACTTCTTCCTAAAGTAGTCATATTTCTGCTTAAACTCTCTGGAATAAGGAACAGCCTGAAAAAGAGATATTTATAAATAGAGATCATGAAAATAATATACTTTAAATTTTTTACATTTATTAAGCCAACATTCAGAACACTATGAATCATAAGGCTTAAAGTTCTCTCTATATTTGTATATAACTCCTCATAGTCTATTTATTTAAATAGGCTTTGAAAAATCTATTCATGTGCATATATTTTCTATGGCTATAGAATATATAGCTGTGTGTGTGAGACAGAGAGAGACAGAAGAGGAGGGAGGGAGAGAAGGAAAGAGGGGGAGGGGGGACAGAGAGAGAGAGGAGAGACAGAGGAAAGAAGAGAGGAGAGAGAGAGAGAAGAGAGAGGAGGAGAGAGGAAGGGGAGAAAGGGGGAGAGAGAGAGAGAGAGAGAGAGAGAGAGAGAGAGAGAGAGAGAGAGAGAGAGAGAGAGAGAGAGAGAGAGAGAGAGAGAGAGAGAGAGAGAGAGAGAAAAGAGAGGAGGGGGAGGAAGGAGGCAGGGAGAGAGAGAGTGCAGAGCACTGGGTTCCTGTAAAAAGGGTACCTCACCAGGAGATAAAACATTTGGATGACACAAAGTTGCTGACCTCCAGGAGCTCCCAGTCTTGTCTGGGACATGCAATGATAATATCATGAGAACCCAATAGGTCTATTAATTAAGTGCAGAACAAACTGCTATTGAAAGACGAAAGGCAACACGACTATAACATATACTAATATGGTAACATGTTTCATATGACCAAAAATGTATAATCTATATAGAACTGCTTGCCATCTCAGGGAAGGGGCAGGGGAAGAAGGGAGGGAAATAATTTGGAACTCAAAATTTTAAAAAAAATGAATGTTCAAAATTGTTTTTACATGTAATTGTAGAAAAATTATTAAAAAAAAAAGAAATTTTATCTCATAATCTGCCTCAGGCCTCATGCACACATTCTAGCTGTCTATATGTTTGACTGAAAAAAGCCATTTGTAAACCTGGTAGGCGCTGGCTAGATGTGGGTGGAAACTAGGAGGTTGAGCTATTTCTGTTCTTTCTTCTTGCGGGAATGATGCATGGGAAGTTCAAAAATCATTATCCTCCTCCACTCATTATTTTTTCTCTCTTGGGTAGTTTTTCAAATGGAAGAACAAGAACCCATTTTCACCTTCGCCTAGAAGGAGACTGTTGCCCTACTGATATACAGAAGCGCCTGACAGTTAGAGCCTCTGGAGAAGAAGGTATAAAGCATATTATCTTTCTTGGATTGAATAGCTTAATGGGCCAAATCATTTGTTCTCTTTCCATATGAATTCTTTTTTAAAATATCACCTAAGGAAGTAAAAATGCACTTATGATTATAATCTATTTTACTCTGACCATCAGGTAGGGCAAGTGACAATCTTACTCTTGCTCACCAATTAGCCACAGAATGTTGATGACCTAATGATTTAAAATTAGATAGCCTAGGCTCAAGTCTTGGCTTTGCCATTTTTGAACTTTGTGACATCAGGCAAATCACTTTTTTGAGTCTCAAATGACCAATCTACACGCGCTGTCTGTCTCAGGTTTGTTGTAATGCTCACATTAGATAGCCCCCCCATGAGAACAATTTGAAACAATGATTTCCTATGTGAATTTTAAGTTATTATTACATATAATGGTGAAATCCTACTAAAGAATTCACCTGCCTCAATAATAAACACACCTCCCTTCCCCCTTTGCTTGAACAAAATATAAATGCTTAAATTATTTAATGTTTTTGTATAGTGAATATCCTAAATAAATCTGTCATTATTGTTTGTCTTCAATCTAAAGTCTTAGGGAAAAGGGATCATATCTAGTTGACTTTGATGAAAGTCAGTGTGGTCCCAAGTAGAAAGAAGGCTGGAATTAGGAGACTTGAGTCATAGCCATGATCATGACGTTAATTTGTTGCATGCCTTTGGGCATTTTACCTCACTGTCTACCTACATCAGGGGGGTTTAATGGCTTAGAGAAATGTTGAAGCCTTGTGGAAAAGGTCAACTATTCTTTGTCCATGTCAAAGTAGTCCATTGTGAGCATACTCTATTACAGTATAAGTGCAAAATTGACCACCTTGCCTCATGTTTTAATTCTATACTAATTCTAGTCTTAATTCTAAAATAACCATATGACACACGGATGAAATTTACATAGAGCTTTAAGACTGCAAAAACCTTGGAAAAAATGGAAAGTGTTACACATATATAAATTATTACTCAGACTCCTGCAGAGAAGCCCCGAAAACAAACAGTGCTTCATACAACTGAATTGGAGGAGAGCTTGGTGCATGTAAAGAGAAATGTCAACTATCCTCTTATCCTAGTGACATTAAGTTAAGCCATCACATACAAAAAAATGCATGCTTAGGAAGAAACAAAGGAATAACCTGGGAAAAATCCACTATGAAATATACTCACTGGACCAGTAATAGCAGGATTCTGCAATCTTGGATCTTCCCACTGAGTAATTTTACTATCTGAAAATTAACCCAATAAATGAGAGCATTAGTTAGAACCTATCCCAGTCTATCTAAAAATGCTTTCAGAAAGAAGTTTCACTAGGTTTCTTCAATCATCTGCTTCTCCCTATTCATGCCCATTTCCTCAAGTCTCAGAAGTTTCTAAGAGCAGGGCAGTTTTAGGGAATAATCATATAATCCATCCTTCCACCCTGCCCACCAACACGCTGTTTAGTTGAAAACAGTCAATCAAAAATGCAAAACTAGGTGAGGTAGACCATCTAATTCACACTGTTTGGGGGTAAGCATCTGTCAATACTTCAGTTATAAACCCCTGTTCTCTTAGGGATTTATAACTTGATTGTGCTTTTTCACTCAATTGCAAAAAGGTTAAGAAACACACACATAGCATTTACTCATTTGCAAACACTTTTTTTTCTTGCTTATATATTTTTTAAAAAACTGTTTTCAGTTAAGAGACTTATGTTTAACAATTGAACAATCCATAATATGCATCATTCACATATGCGCACACATATACAAATCAAAGCAGATCAGACAGTCCTAAAATGAGAACTAAGTTAATACTGTACAAAAAATTTTCCCTATTGACTAGCTTAGCAAGGTCTTTATTTCTCCTAAAAGATGTAATCTAGACTCATTTTCTTTCTACCATGGTATAAGCACTAATACAATGGTGTTGTAGATTGACAGTTATGTGGAAGACAGGTCTGATCTATAAATCTTTATAGAGAAGGGGGAAAAATTACATTAAGATGTTCTTGAGGTTCCATGAAATCCAAGCAAGTCAAAAAAGGCTGGTAAAAATTCTGTCAAGAGGCTGTTGAAAGCATGCTGGGCTTGGAGTCTGGAAGCATATTGAAATCTGGCCTCTGATACTTAAAAGGTGTGTACTCTTGGATGCATCACTTAAACTCTAGATATCTTGAGAAATGTCCTAAGACTTAATACTAAATTATAGGATGTGTTGTGAATTTTTTTATATTTTCATATTACTATTTTTTTTTTGTATTTTGTATCTGAGAACTGTACTGGTAGGTTTGTATTTACATATCGCATCAATCACCAAGTATTTATTAAGCATTGATTTTGTACCAGTCCATGGCACAATTTAGAATTGCTATATACTTAGCTTCTTGTGCTATCAAGGAATATTTTATTGAATGGCCTTTTCTCAATACATATTCTTTCTCACAGCATAGAAAATGTTAATCACTATATTTGTATGTACCTCATTTTTTTAAAACTTTTTTTTTTGCTAGGCAATGGGGTTAAGTGACTTGCCTAGGGTCACATAGCTAGTAAGTGTCAAGTGTGTGAGGTCGGATTTGAACTCTCTTACCCCGTGTATCCAATCAGTTGCCACACTGCTGCTCCTATCTCCACAACACTGCCTTTCTTCTTACACATGGCCACCACCCTGATCCATGTGCTCCTCACCTTTCGTCTAAACTATTTCAATAACCTCCTAATTAGTCTCCCCACTTTCAAACTCTCCTCTCTCCAAATACATTCTCAATATAGCCACCAAAAATTATCTTCCTAAATAGTAGAACTGACCATGTTACTGACCCTACTCAATAAATTCCAGTTTTACACCTGGGATCAACTACAACCTGTTAGGCATTCTGAGTTCTTCACAAACTGAACCTAATGTACCTTTTCAGTTTTATTATATATGATTCCCCATCACATATATTAAAATCCAGCCAGAATTACTATCTTGCAGTTTCTCAAACACAATACTTAAAACTCCTGTCCACATGCCTTTACACTGGTTGTTCTCCATGCCAGGAACACATGCATATCCTTCCCACATCTACCTCTCAGAATCCCTAGTTTCCATCAGAAGCTTAAATGCCAGTTTCTATATTAGACCTTTCATGATTCTCCCCACCTACTAGTGCATTCCTCCTGAAAAATGGCCTTGCATCTCTTTTGTATGTACATAGGTAACATATGTATATATAACTACATGGTTTTATGTGTGTGTTTATTACCCTTGGTAGAATGTAAGCTTCTTTATGAGAGGGACTATTTCACTTTCAACTCTTTATCCACAGTAATGGGTACATAGTAGGTGATTAATAAATGCTTACTGATTGATAGATATGTAGGTTTAATTGGGAAAAGGCTGATTTGATTGATTTTATTTCTTGAGTATTCTATAGGCAGATTGAAAGCATTATTTGGTAAAAAGGATTTCAATGAATCTTAGAATAAATATGTATTTTACAAAAGGTCTATTGTTTTCTAATTAATAGATATTTTAAAGGTCAACAAAAATTGATAAAATCTTTAATTATTCTTGATTCTTTTGATTTGCCTTCACATGGGCAATGACATTTCTGTAATGCTGTGACATTTCCTGAAGGGAATTTTTGGTTCTTGTTTTATGGAATGAGAGGCCTTGACAAAGTAATGGCAGCCAATATAAGAAATAAGATAGAACACAAAACTAAACACATGAAAGGAAAGTATCACCCATTTGGACATGCATGGTTAACTGGATTGGCCCAAACAGAATACTACTTCTGACGAAGAAAATAATAATAAAAAAGGCTTTCAAGTTTTTAATGAGGCTATAACAACATTCACTTTATTTTAAAATATTTCATTTAGATTAATTAAATTTAAATTAAAGTACTTTAATTAAATTACTTTGCTAGTCCCTAATTATTTGAAACTGATCTCTCATTTTCAGTATTAATTTAGAACTTTTGCTTCTCAACTTGTTTCTGGCATTTGGATTGTTAAAATTGTTCATTAATTCTGTCAATGAAAGAAAGAAAAAGTAAAGGCATATGATCTGGACTTAATCTTCCTATTTGTCAACCAGACTTGTAAAAGATTTGGTAGAGGGTCCTAAAGGAGGATTCATTAATTTTCCTTTATTGTAATACAGTGCAAAGATCACTGGATTAAGAGTCAAGAAGACCTGATTATGAATTCTGGGGAGTCTGGATCCTGAATCTGTCACTATTTCTGTTATCTTTCTGCCCTCATATGTGAATTATTATTTGTGGGTGAATACTCAATTGATACACACAAGTCATCTTTGAGAAGAAAGATGCCACAGGTAACAGAATCATTATGCACTAAATCTTAAGAAATGTGTATGCAATGGATAGTCATAAGTGGGTAGTGTGGATTGTGCTTTTCATTCCATGTTTTTAAGTCATATCTCTCAGAAAAACTAGAAGATAAACAGACATTAAATGGGAGTAAGTTCACATGCAAATGAGTGCTTCCTAACCAACATCAAAATGCATTTTGTATGCGCTTAGGTGAGGCTGTGCACAGAACAAAGTATTTAGACTTGGTCCTTGCCCTCTAGGGATTTTCCATAACTCTAAAACTTTTCATAACTCTGAAAACATTCCTGAAGAAAGGAAAGTAAAGGTAAACAATGTACACTGGACAAAACACTGATGAAGATAGGAAGGCTATTTAGAGAGCTGTACAGTTCTTAAAAACAAAAAACACACTATTCACTTATTGGGTAATGAAAATCTGTTCATGCATTTGCTACATAAAGGGGTAAGTAAGTAAGCTACTTTTAGCAAGCAAGTATATGGCATCATAGTCCAGCACAGGACTATAGATAATTACCAACTCCTGTAACACAATAAAACTTTGTTAATTTATATTAATTGGCATGAAAGCCAGTCTAAATTAGAGATTAAATTATGGAATTTTTTAAAAAAAATTATAGTTTTTACTGTACCTTATTACTGTATTATTTACTGTACTTTTACTACTTTCAAGTACAGTGCCTACCAGAGTACATTACACAGAGTAGATGCCTTAAGGAATGTTGAATAAAAGTAGTATATATAGTGACTAAAAACAGGCTAAAAAAATGCTGCAAAATAGAGTCCTTGTAGGGACAAGTCTGAATGATAAATCTACAAATCAGATGCTACCAAAACACTCAGAGTGTTCCCAATTTTTTAAAGTAGTTTTAAATACTGTCTCCTCTAATTTATTTACATGGCTCATTCACTTTGCAAAATTTCTTTTTATAGGTAGTAAATTTCAGTGTGACCTCCATCTGAACACAAACTGCATTATTAGCAGAATCCAAATGAATGACCACCAGGAAGACTACAAAGTTGTACTGGTAGAGGGACTTTCTTCACAAGAGTTCTCTTGCAGTTTGAAATTTTGTTTTCTTTCAGTAGGCAAAGTAGGCCACCTTTTGCCTCATTTTTTACGTAGTCTTAAATCACTAAATGGGTGTTGCCTCAGATAAAATGAGACCTAGGAAAGACCTTAGCTTAAAAAGGCTTAAGGCTCCTGGACCATCTGGGGTCATATCTAGTCATCCTGACCTGCCTTGCCACTGGACTCAGATGACCTTGGGGGAGAGGGTGAAGCTGATGCCTTTACACAGCCCTGCCTCACTTAAATCCAATTCAGTTGCAGGTCAAGACATCACCCTCCTGATGTCATTGGGCCTGCTTGAGAATGAAGGACTAACAACAACAACAAAGCAAAACAATGGTATAAAATCTTGAGGGTGGTTAAAACAGTATTTCAATATCATTAGAGGAACAGAAAGTCTTGGGGAAGTTTCTGGGGCTACTTAGTTGAAATTTGTCATGGAAAACTATTTGTTGGTACCAGAATATTATTCCCAAAGAAAAAGGCCACGAAGTAGATTGATTAAATAATCTTAAAATTACTTCTGATGAATGAATATAAGAAGTGGGAAAAAAAGGAGTGATTTCTGTAATGTGTCCTCTAGAAAGAAAAAGCATATAATGATTTCCACGTTTTATAAACTTGGCTAATGGTGATGAAACTGATTAAAGGACAAATGGGTCTATGCTGGATTACTGAGGTGATATAAACATTTTTTTAGTAGTGGATAAAGAATATGTGGAATTTCTTTAGCTGTTGGTTTAGCATAAGGGTGCCAAACTGGTGCCACTTGAATTTCTATTGGTGCTACCATATCAGTATATATATATATATATATATATATATATATATATATATGGAAGCAGCAATTTTGTAGGAGTTAGGAAGACCTAAGTTCAAATTCTCCCTTGGACATTTACTATGACTAGGCCTGGCTAGCTTCAGTTCCCTTTTCTATGAGGGGGATCATAATAGCATCTACCTCTCAGGATTGCTGTGAGGATATAAGAAGTTTATACATATAAAGCAAATCAAGTCATTTATAGACCTATATATTATATATCATTATTGTTATGTTATTGTTGTGTTATATTTTTAAAATTTTCTTTAAAATATTAGGAATTATTATTAACTTTTTCTTAACACTGGAACTATAATGCAAATCAGATGCAAAATTTTAGAGGGAAACATTTTTATTTTTTAGTGGAAACTAGTGGTACAACCAAGGGAAGCCCTCCATTGTTTTTCACTTACGCATTTTCTCCAGAAGCCAGCCAGGCTAGCAAAGATGAGCTTATATCAAATTCTGTCAACCATTAAATCACAAATGAATACATTTTTAGAAGGATATAGGGATGTGTGTGTGGGGTGAACATTCACTTTTTTAATAAAACATTTATAATTTCATGGTAAAAGTTTTAGCTTCACTGTACAATTCTGGAAAATGAGAAAAATCAACATTTGTACCTACATCTAAATAAAAACAACAAAATAAAATTTAAAAACTTCAGATATCCAATTTGAACCAAAATATCAATAGTTAAAAGTTATAATTTAATTAAAACTTCAGTTTTCAGAATTTTAGAATTCTTGATCTTTGTTGGTTTCATCCAGATATTAAATAAAGGCACTTTTGGCTTATCCATAGACCAATAAATTCCTTGATGATACTACAAGTGGTGAAATACCATCTCAGCTGGGAAAACACAAAAAAAAGGGAGCTTTCTATTTACATTTAAAAAAATCCCCTGTATTTGATTTTACACTAAAACTATATTTGACATCCTTTTTCCAGGTAAGAAAATGTGTGCTTAAAAATGGAAACCAAAAATTATCTACTTGCTAGAAGACTTCAAATTTTGTATTTAATCCATTTTCTCCTTTGTCAGTTTTTTCCCCCTCAGAGACAATAAGGAATTTGTGAAGATTATCTCATAAAAAGGACTGACTCCTCACCAAATAAAAAAAATTAAAAAAAAAAAAGGCCATGGGCCAAGAGCACTTTTTTTATTAGTTTAATTTTAAGTTCAAATGAAAAATCACATAAGTAATCTAATATACTATAACAAAAGTCTACATTTACACTAGGACTTCAGTAACAGAACTAGATATAGCTTAACAATGGGTGCAAGAAAAAACATGCTATAAATAGAAAATAAGGTCAGAAATAGCAATATGTCACAAGAATGTTTAAGGCAGTGATTTCATTTAAACTCAACTATACTCCTTTTCTCTCACTGCTTACACAGACACTTGTGGTGAAATCATTTCTAATCTTATTTTCTATTACTATGGCGTATTTTAATATATTAAATGCACATAAGCCATGGAGTCATCAACAAACAACAAAATTCAAATAAATCAATAAATGATAAAATTGTTAATGCTTCACAAGATCCAAGTGGGAACAAAGCCGATGAGCCAATTAACCACAAGCTTTTGGTCAATATACGATACCGTAGGAGGGCACTAAGTCTCTGGTATCATTTTCTCCACATATCAACACCTGGCTTCCTAAATGAAGAGTAAAGTCATAAAGCTCTTGCTATAATATTTAACTTACCTCTCTTTTGTCTAAATTGAAACATTTTATCAATAGAGATTACTTACTATGATCTATATAAAAAGTTCGGCCATCCAAGTGTATCCTTTCTTCCCAACCGGGCTAGTCAAAAAGAAAAGACAAAATAAATATTAGTTGGCAGTCCTCCCAATCCTGAACCTCCTAAAAAAATAAAATAAAAAACCCCCATCTGTCTACCAGCATCCATTCTCAATTCCAACATATCCTTATTCTCTTGGCCTGGTAAAGTGATATTTTGCATAAGAACCAATGAATGACATATGAAAGGATTCAATTAGATAATTGGTATTTCTAAAAGAAAGCATCATCTGCTCACTAGGCTTAATGCAATGGACTTGAGATCACACAAAGTTGGAAAAATCAGGATCTATGCTTGTTCTTTAAAAAAAAAAAAAACCAGAGGCAGCTAGGTAGAACAGTGTATAGAGCACCGGCCCCAGAGTCAGGAGTTTAAATTTGGCCTCAGACACATAACATTTACTAGCTGCGTGACTCCGGGCAAGTCACTTAACCCCAATTGCCTCACCAAGAAAAAAAAAAGACTACTGTAAAAGGGAATTAGCAAAATACTACAGAAAAGTTGTATCTGGGGTTACTTGTCTAATGAACTCTAACACTTCAAATCCAGCTTAGGCCCTAGAACTTTTCTGACCTCATGCTTGGCCAATGAGATAAGAGTGCTAGCTCCCAAGAAGAATTTTTTAAGTGTTCATTTAGCTTGGAAAACACCATAGCAGCATCTATTGGTTATAAGAACACAGTTTTCGGAAAACATTTGTCTCTCAGTAAGGGGTGGCTTTCTTCAGTTGTGGGGAGATGGAGGGGGGCATGTTGAAGGCATCATTCCAAATCTAATTTAGAGTAGTATATAGTGCAACTCCCACTCAGGCTCCAAAAGAGAACAAAATAATAAGCTAAATCTATAAACATGCACCAAAGGTTAAAAACCCTTTAAATATCTGCAGGCTAATTTACATAATTACATTACATAATTACATAATTCAAGAAACCTTCCTTAATTACTTCTTATGCGTACCCTTTCCCCAACTGCTTTCCATAAGTTTGTTCCAATGATTTAATCAAGGCTGTAGATGGAAGGAAGCTGTTGCTGAACAAAAGAAGCCCTCAGCTGCAGGGGAGACTGTCTTTTTGTACAATCTGCTTACAAAGACCTAGGGAAGCCTACCTTTTCACAAGTGGCTGGCTAATTCTGGAATGTCTTTTCAGCTACACTGGGGTACATGTACTATAATTCTAATCCTGTCACACGACTTCTAGAGACAGATCACAGCTAGACACTGAATTCTGTTAAGAATGAAGACCAAAAAATAAATAGCACCGGAGAAGAGTAGGCTGGGGGAAGAATGAGAGCAATGCATGTGTTTAAAGGAACATGAAAAGGATACTTATTCTAGTTAGTAGAACCAACACTCACAGGAAGAGGACCCAGATCATTAGGATTCAAAGATGCCTTTGAGCGCAAATGTACTGGAAATTTCAGTCGTGGATCTTCCTGGAATGAGAATGTGAAAGGAAGTTTACGTTAATGAACAGGGCAAAGCATTACTTGGACGTGGTCACTGGCCGTTCCTATTTGGGGATATGAAGTCCAGGGTAATGAAGGTATATTTTGTATCAGTGCTGCATCATCCCTGTTTGGGAATGGGATGGAGAATCTCTCCTCTTCCTCACCTTTAGGTCCCTGTTTCACACACAAAATATTTCATCTTCTATCTCCAGCTTCTATCATATTCCGCTAGGATGGGATTCATTCTCATTTCTGTCTCAGAATCCTTGATATTCTTCAAAACTCAGCTCAAGTGCCACAGAAAACCTTTCCTGATTCCACCCTCCCCACTATGTATTCTCTTCCCAAACTACCTCCTATTCATTTTGTACACATTATCTACGTACATCTGTCTGTCCTATTAGAATGTAAGTTCTTTGAGAGTAGGCATTGTTTCACTTTTGTCTCTGTATTTTATGTACATATCACGGTGCCTGATACCTGGCAGTCCTTAAATAAACTGAGCATCACTTATTTGATTTATTCACTTACAATGTGCAAGGTAGCATCAGTATTTTGGAACAACTTATTCCTGCCTAGTCTAAATGAGCAGGCAGAGGAGGAGGAGGAATTCACATAATCATGGAATTTTAGAGTGGCTGGATCCCGATGCATTGTCTAATAGAATCCATACCTGAACAGGAACCTCCTTGACAACAGCTCAGATCAACTCATACAGTTTCTTCTTAAAAAACTCCCATCAAGGGATGCTGAGTGAAGTGAGCAGAACCAGAGAACATTGTACACATTAACAGCCATGTTGTGCGATGACTAACGTTGTTAGATTTAGCTCTTCTCAGCAATGCAAGGATCTAAGACATCTCCAAAGGTCTCATGATGGAAAATGTTATCCACACCCCGAGAAAGAACTATGGAGTCTGAATGCAGATCAAAGCATACTATTCGCTATTTTTTTCTTCTGTTTTGTTTTGTTTTCCCTTTCTTGTGGTTCCTCTTATTGGTTCTAACTCTTACATACAACATGACCAATGTGAAAATATGTTTAATAGGAACGTATATGTAGAGCCTGATTGCACACCATTTTGGGGAGGGAGGCAGGGAAGTAGGGGGAGAAAAATTTAAAACACAAAAGCTTATGGAAGCAATTGTTGATAAATCAAAATAAATTAATTAAAAAAAACTTCCATCAAGGAAAACCCCTTCGCCATCTAAGGCTTGTTGTCATTGTTCCATCATGTCCAACTCTTTGTGACCCCACTTGGGGCTTTCTCAGCAACCATACTGGAGTGGTTTGCCATTTCCTTCCCCAGCTAATTTTACAGATGAGGAAACTGAGGCAAACAGGGTAAGTGACTTGCCCAGGGTCACAAAGCTAGTAAATGTCTAAGGCCAGATTGGAACTCCAGAAGATACTGGCACTTCTATCCACTGTGACACCTAGCTGCCTTTAAAGGCTAGCTTTGAGTATTTATAGATCATTCATCTAGCAGAGACCTCAGAGGCCCAGCCCTGTTATTTTTCAGGTGAGTGAACTGCCTAGGGAGGTTAGGTGACTTGCCCAAGGTCGCATATGCAGGTGAGATCCGAACCCCCAAATTCTGGCTCTGCAGCCAGTGCTCTTCTCACTACCTTACAATGAAGTGCTATCATATGGAAGAAGTATCAAACCTGTTCTTGGTTCCAGAGGGGCAGAACTAGGGAGAATGAATGGAAACTGCAACGAGTGGACAAGATAAGGGAAAAATCTCCTAACAATTAAAACTGTCCAAAACTAGATTGTGCTGCCCTGTGAAGTAACAGGTCCCTCCTCCTCATTAAAGGTCTTCCAGCAGATAATTTGCTGGGTATATTATAGAGGGAATTTCTGGCTAGGTACATTGTTGGGCAAAATGTCCTGGAAGTTTCCTTCCCACTGAAGAATCTGGGATAACGGGGAATTCTCTTACTAAGGGAAAGAGTACTTCTACAGATTTCATTTCCCTCCCTACAAGGAAGCCAAGCCAAAATGTGGAAAGGCCCAAAGTGTCTCCCCATTGCCTCTAGGATCAAATCCCTAGGAAGATAAAACTGTTTTTAAAGCCCTTCAAAAAATCTCGTCTTAACTTCTTTTTTCAGACTCACTCTATGTACATTACTCCCTCTCCCACCTTCTCCAGTCTTGCCACACTGGCCTACGTTCTGTTCCTCACATACACAACACTATGACCTCCATCTCTATGTCTCTCCACTGGCCATTCTCCATGACTGGAAAGTACACATTCCTCACTTTCACCTTACAGAATTTTCTTACTTCAAAACACAGCTAATATACCACTTTCTATGTGAAGCTTTTCCTGATGCCCCCTCCTTCCAATATCTAGTGCCTTCCCACTCTATCTTGTATTTTATTCACTTTATGTTTATTCTGTATATGCACACATATAATGCATGTGCACACATTCATACATCTACACACACTCATGCGCGCGCGCACACACACACACACACACACACACACACACACACACACACACACACTTGTTTCCCTGTTGGAAACTCCTTGTGATTGGGGATGGTTTCATTCATTGTACTTGTATCTCCAGCACATACACCTGGCAGAAAAGAGGTTCTTATACATGCTTGTGCTTGATTGAGATCTCTGAGTCATAGTGGCTTCAAGATCTATTGGCTAATGATTCCAAAACCATTAGGGAGATGTGGCCCAAAATATCCCTCAACAAGCATTGTAGCTTCTGCTTCCTCAGTAGCCATAGTTATTGAAGACCCTCCTCAAAAGAAAATTCTTAACAACAAATTCTTTAGACTGGTCAAATGATTCCACATCAGAAAGAGATATGGGGGCAGTGAGGTGGTGCAGTGGATATAGCACTGGCCCTAGAGTCAGGAGGACCTGAGTTCAAACCCTGCCTCAAACACATAACAGTCACTAGCTGTGTGAGTCTGGGCAAGTCACTTAACCCCAATTGCCTCACGAGAGAGAGAGAAAGAGAGAAAGAAAGAGAGAGAGAGAGAAAGAGAGAGAGAGAGAGAGAGAGAGAGAGAGAGAGAGAGAGAGAGAGAGAGAGAGAGAGAGAGAGAGAGAGAGAGAGAGGGTTTTTATCAAATGAAATGATTTTAAAGAACAAACATTGCCCTCCCTCTTCTTTTTCTAATTTTTTTCAATGCTAACAATCAAACTTTATTCACCAACAGCATGCAAACACTAGTTTATATCAACTATTTTTTCTTTTTTTTTATTAAAAAAATTTTTTTTTTGCAAGGTGATTAGGGTTAAATGACTTGCCCAGGGTCACATAGCTAGTGTTACGTGTCTGAGGTTGGATTTGAGCTCAGGTCCTCTTGACTCCAGGGCCGGTGTTCTATCCACTGCGCCACCTAGCTGCCTCTATTTTTAAATTAAAAACAATTTTTGAATTCTGTCCCTCCCTCTACTCCTCTCCACCCATTGAGAGGCAACAAATAAAACACCTATTACACATATAAAGTCAGCACACCCATCTCTTTTGCTGCTGTATCTGAAGGACCACTGGGCCTTTTCATCTGACCTATCTCCTTCTATTAGGATGTGAACTACTTAACAATAGGGTTTGCTTGACTTTTGTACTTACATCCTCAGCTTTGTATTGCATCCCCAGCACTTTGCACCATGCTTGGCACCTTGTTCCTGTGCTGAATAAACACCTTTTATTCATTGTTCCTATTCTAAAATGTTACAAAGAGATGTGTTTTTATTTATTTATACATTATTGCTTCCTAAAAAGAACGCCAGCTCTAGCTTCCAAAAGCCTGGGTTCCTAGATTGTTTCAAGAACTGTTTCCTCATTGTTACATCACTCTTTTAAAATATGGAATGATATACTAAAAAGAAGATTGACCAGGTTTTGCAGATTAAATATTAATTTCTTCCACTTTTAGAATATGAGCTAAAAAAAATATTAAATTTTTCAGGAGAGTCTGAAAAGACTACAACTAAGAAAAGAAACCATAGAGAATGAAGAAAGCTTTCAAATCACAGGAGATAAGGTTTGAGCCTCTATTCTTAATGACACCGAAAATTATGAGTATCTTTCTTTTTTTTATCATGGATTTACACCTTTAGGACTATCCTGCAACCTATTCATGGCCACCATGTCTCTCCACTGCTCTCTGGAGATCTTCAATTTTGATTCATCAGTGTTAGAATTCACATCCACATGGAATCTGTTGAAAAAGATCATTGTTCAAAGAACTTCTGGGGGATTGGTTTTATGGAACTCTTTGAGATAGTTTAAAACATTGTGAAATTTGTCAAATGAAATCCAGTCTACTTTATTCCTCCAATTCTGTTCTAGGCCCAGATACTCTCCAGATATATAATTTGTCATATATACATATACATATACATACACATATACATATACATATACATATACATACACATATATACACATACATCTAAATAGATATATATACACACACACATATATATATATGTATTTATACAATATACATTCATATACATAGCAAACATTTGTATATTTAGGCAAGTGACTTAACCTCCCTAGGCCTCAGTTCACTCATCTGAAAAATAACAGGGCTGGGCCTCTGAGGTCTCTGCTAGATGAATGATCTATAAATACTCAAAGCTAGCCTTTAAAGGCAGCTAGGTGTCACAGTGCATAGGAATGCCCGTATCTATCTTCTGGAGTTCCAATCTGGCCTTAGACATTTACTAGCTTTGTGAGCCTGGGCAAGTATGTACATTGTATATGGACAGATATAGTCAGATACACACGTGTATATGAGCATATATATACACATGTGTACATGTATACATTCATCTACATATACGTATTTATCACACATTTGTACATATATCAGAGAGATAGATAGATACACAGACAGACTCATTCAATGGCTTCTATATTCCACCTGCATTTCACATCTGGATAAGAGGTATTTTTTTTCTTTTTTTAGGCAACTGGGTTAAGTAACTTGTCCAGGGT